CGAAAGTTTCTCTCACAAATTGAGCTCGTTTTATGTAATAATGTGAAGCAACGAAAGGCTTCATTCATCAAGGTTAAACAAATATTTGACCTTACTCAGTGAGCAATATTGTTCGGGAAGAGGAAGTAAATGCATTGAAATTAGGAAAATTGCGTTTAAAAAAATACTAAAAAACAAGCAAATGTTGGCTTTTTACAGTGTATTAATGTCATCCTTTTTTTTCATTAACAATGCAAAACAAGATTCAAACAAGTTCTTTTGAAAAGAATTACATAGAGTCGTCAAATCATCGGGCTGTAAGAATAGTCGCGTTCTGATTGATGTTGGGTTAGCACGGGATATATATATAAGTTCAAAATGTAGAATAAAACAAAGAAAAATTATAGACATATGGAAAAAAAAGGGGGGAGGACGTAATAAGTAAAAAAATAACAAACAACAGTTTAAAAAAAAAGGATGAAANTGGAGGAGCAATGTTTTAGCGTGACTTTTTGGTGTATAATGTTTACCAACTAAACTTCGTCAGATCTGACTGTAACTCTGTCTCTCCCTCTCCGTCTGGAGAGGGGTGAAACTGCTATTTCACCATCGTTTAGCTAAATAAAATATCATGCCGAAACTGGACTCGTTAATCATGTTGCTCTGACTGCTAATTTACTAAAAAATTATTATAAGCCTCGCAGGACTTTTACTTTGCGGAGGAAACCTGTAAAAGAAAATCAGTGTTTATAAATTTGAATCTTAGGCCTGGCAATGCTACGCAGTTCTTTAGAGGCCGGCTATGACAATTTTTCATCCCATCACCCAACGGGGGTGAAAAAGAGAATCGCCGAAGGTTCCCATCGAGAGACCGGGAAAAAATCGCCTAATCCCGTTCTGAAGAAATCCCATCCCTTTACTTAATAAGTTACCTACGGAAAGTTGAGTTATGCTAGTGCTGCTCTGGATTAATCGTCGATGAAGTGTTTTCTCACCCAGGAATGGTTTACGATGGTCTACTTAAATGTTCGAAACTCCCTCCTACTCAGAACTTAAAGAAAAATAAGCTTCAATTTCTCCTTCACTCTAATTTATGAATCCTTTTAACGAAAAGAAAAAAGAGAAAGAATAATTTTTTCCTATCAACTTTTATCTGATGTTGTGGCTTTCAAGATATATGTTGGATTAATTCGAACTTTATCCAGCTGTATCCTTTAAATATTTTTTTTTGAAAACATTTATTTCTTTGATTTTTAGTGATTAATAAGAAAGGAAATCGCAGATAACAGAGGAATCGGCACTTTTTTTTAACCGACATGGTTCCAGAGATTTTCAAAATCATTGCTGCAGGTCATCTTTTTGGAACTTTGAATGGTGTCGCTTTTACGTACTTCATCGGATGTAAAAAAGGGTCAAAAAAGTGAATTTTTTAATTTCGGAACTCTTTAAAACGAAAAATTTGCTTGTGATAACAAATAATGAAAACGGTCTAAAAGAATTTTAAAATCAGTTAATATCTTTCTTTCACGCATGGTGCTTAAAATGAATAAAAACTTGAAAAAAATCAGGCTATTTTTTAAAAAAATTAATTAGGTGAGCTAAGATTTATAAAATAAACGCGCTTTATTTCTTTAGGAGTTTGTGATGGTTTGAATATTTTAAATAAATGAAATTCTGAACCATAATTTAATTTTTAGGGTTCGCACTATGTTTTAGAAAGAGAAAAAAGAGAAGCTTAGCAACTTTTCGCAATTTTCACTTTGCATCTCTTCGCTCATTATATTAGATCAGAACCACCGAGAACTTCCCGCGTTCCATCACATCATTATATTTACAACTACCTATATTCAAAGATTTTCAATGCAGTAGAATTTTTTGATTTATTGCATTGTTATTCGTTGAGTAAGGTTCCTTTTTTATCTGCACTACATATGAAAGAGCAATTCTCAAAACATGTCCCTTTTTTGTAATATTAGAAGCGAATAAGTTTTCCTATTATTAAGTACATATTTTCGTTTCAATTTCTTAATTATTTACTTTTATATTAGCTTATAGTTTTCAATGAGGTGTAGAATGATATTCATGTTTGTTATTATCTGAAACAGACAGAATATGAAAACATATGAGTGGATCAACTACAACTACTTTATTGCACAATGTAGTCAACTACAGGTTTTTTTTTTTAATGTACCGACTACAAACTACTTTGGAGATGTATAGTCACTATTTTTAGAAGATGAACTTGGCTTGAGAATTTAATTGACACCGATTTTTAAAATAGCTCGGAATAAAAAATTGGTTTATTCAAACGCTGGTAAGAAATATATATTCATGAGCAAGTTTGTTAAACCATTCTTTTTTTCGAATTTGTTCATTTGATCTTCTTCTTATGCTCTTCTCGACAGCGAATATTCAGTTTAAATGCAAGGAAATGATCAAATATTTCAAATTTTGTTGCGTATTTAACGCTCTTTTAATTTTTTTTAAAGAAATAATGTACGAAGCGAATAGGTTTTCTCTTATTGAAATAACATTAATGTTTCATGAGAGAGTCGATTCGCATTTGAAGGTGGGATGAAGGGGACACATTTGCTACTATTCGTAATGGTTTGTTTAATATGAGTAATGCGTCATTTTAAATGCATCATTCTTATGAACATTCAGCTGTAAGGGGGCACACTGATTTTTAATGATTCCAATCGAAAAATTAACTGAATCGGAGCATTGTTTCTTTACTAAACAAACGTTAGTTGTCGGGAATCGCTACAAACTACATTTTTTCTGTATCACACTACTCACTACACTACTTTTCTTAAAAAGTTGTACTCTACACTACACACTACGAAAAAAAGTAGCGACTACAGTAGTTTCGCTTCTTGTAGTCGCAGTCGTAGTTACAGTAGTCGCGCTACTTCCAACCCCTGCCTACAGTGAATACAATTCTATAACTTGTAAAGATTGGTAGATATATTTTTTGGCTTTACTCATGTCTCAGTACCACATGGAGGAATGTTCGCCAATACAATTCTAGAGGCATTCTTCAAATGAAACGCTGATTTCTTAAATTGTTTCGATTTAAATTTGCCGTTTTTATAATCGACTGAATCAGTGTTTCATCATTTCTATTGTGGGTGAAATACTAACGAGTACAAATCATCGATCTTTTTTTTATAAAGATTCAGCCCTGGTATAATTTTCATCCGACAATCTTATCAAAAACTGAATCCAAAAATATCATGAATGGCCACTCTTTGAAAACCTCTATTGACTGCCTTTAAACTGCAATTCATTTAACCAAAAAGTGAAGATATTCAATCGAAAGTGGAGATTTTAGGTTAANTATATATATATATATATATATAGATATATATATAAAAGAATACTGCCGAAATGTTTTAATTTATTTCATTCATTAGTTTATTTACTTATTGAATGAATGGGCTGTATAATGGATTCATTTATCTAATTTGATTTTTTTTTCCAATTTGATTCAATGAATCTATTTTAAATTTTCTAAATAATTTTTCTATTCAAATTTTATAAATAATATTTTAATTTAAATGTTAATAAGTTTAAATTAAATTTGAATGAATTAAAAAAAGTTGAAATATTTATTAATTATTTTTTAAAAAATCTAAACTAAATTCAATTTAAATATTTATGTATTTTTAATTGGCAAAAAATTTATAGAACGTAACTATTTCTCATATTTCCCCTTTTTTAAAATCGGATTTCATCAGCTTGTATTTGTATACTTTTAGAATTTTTTTTTTTACTGCTTCTTGATCGGGTTGATAACTGTTATAAACAGTTGAACTTGAATCAAGCATAATATTCATTTTTTTGCTAGTCTGCAGAATTTCGAGTTTCTAATGGTTATTTATTTAATTGAATTTAAGTGTGAATTGACGGCTCAAAGAAAGGACTTCGAAATTGAATTCTTTCTATTTCCTCCAACGAAAAATGTGAATTAAAAACATTTCTCAGAATTTCTTTTCTTTCTTCGTTTATTTCGCTGTTGACGAAATATAGATGTCACACCTAAAAAATGTAAAAGAAATACAGAAAAAAATTGTAAAAGTAAGCATGATGATAAAAGTTTAAAAATGTTAAATAGACGATAAACTATTTCTAGAATAAGAGCGTGTTAATCAATGTTTAAATAATTGCACGTGATGAGTTTGATGCAATGCAAAATGCGCAAAGAATAATAACAATAATAAACGAACACCTTGAATAACTATTTATCCACTGATCGGATTTTCGCATACTGAGACTTAATTGAGGTTAATCACGTTAATCGCTGAGAATTAATCGCGTACTGAGAATTTTTTTGAGGGTGATCTCAAATGTGCTAATTAATTAGATCAGATGATATTTTAAGTTACAAAATCAGGAACAAAAACGTATTTTCTCCGAATAAACATACTTTCTTTTCTCCAGATTATTATATCGGACCCCCCCCCTTCCCCATACATGAGAAATAAGGTCCCAATAACACAGCTGGTGAATCTCCAAAAGTACATCTGAAAAAGAGACAATTCTTTGCATATTTGTAATTAGATATACACAAATCGTAATTGAAAAATATATTAAAAAAGAAAACATTTGCAGATTTGTGTTATAAGTTTTTACTATTTCAATCTCTGAATTTCTTATTAAATTGAAATACTTCATTTCTTATCATATTAATCTCAACTATCACATATCAATCGCAAACTTCAAAATTCCTTTTTCTTTTTTGATGAAGATTTTTTTTTTTATCGGTGAAAACTGATGTTCTTAAAGATTTGAAAATATCATTTTTTTTTCACATTTAATCAGTTCTCTCTACTCGGCAAACTTATAAAAAAATAAATAAATAGAAAGTAGGAATGTTGTATAATGATTAAGCGACAAAAATGTCATTCTTCCTCAAGGTCACACAAAATTGTTTTTTTTTTTTTTTTAAATATTATTTTTTTCTTCTTTTTTTTTCTCAAGCAAAATGAAATTGTTCGTAAAAAGGAAGCGGACTCATTGAAATAAGTAGTTTGGCAAATAAAAAGAATGAACATTGTAATATTTGTCTTCATTTTCATTTTTATTTTCATTCACACAAGGCAAACAAGTTTGGGATTTTATTTTTTCAAATAACAGTGGACTTCAGTTAGAAGGGTTGTAGAAAATCGTCTGCTCATCTCGTTGTTCTAATCAAAACGATACAAGGAATAATAAAAGTGAAGTGTTGACTTAAAAGATGAAAGAAAAATCATTTTTATCGAACGAAAATTAATATTAGCTAAGTAGTTCATTTGCTTACAGAGTTGCAAAGAAGAAATTCTGATTGTTTCTCTCCAAACAGAACAAAGAAAAATAATAAAATAAAATGCACTCCATTTAACTCGATTCATAATCTGCACATCATTTAACTCTTTATTATACCCTACTTAATGCTCTTTAGAGCATTCTGATGTCTGCTAATATAACTGAAACATGTAGAACCGATTTTGTTAGTAGAAGCTAAGCAACATTTCTGATATGCTGCATGTTACTGAAACTAATTAATATCTGATGATTTATTAATGGAATTATCTGATGAAAGAGAAGAAGATTTGTTGAAAGGAAGTGATTCCATGATCAGCATTTCATTATTAATTTGCTGCATGTTCCTTGAAGCTAACTTCAATCTGCCGTGGAGTTGAAACAGATAATCTGATGAATTAAAATTAAAACTTTTGATAGTTTGAAAAAAGAATTTAGAGACAAAAGACTGATTTGTTCATGATGGTGGAATGTGTCCATGCTAAACATATCTGCAAAGCCAATTTATATTTCTGAGTAGACACTGAGCAACGTTCTATTCATAATTTGCCGCATGCTCTTGAAGTCAATTTAAATCTGCCGATGAGTTGAAATAGATTATCTGATTGAAACTAGTTTTTTTTTATTAAAATAGAATTTGCTAACGAAAGATTATTTGCTGGACGTGACGTGTGAAGTCTGATCTCTACAAATATGTCCTCAGATCGGAAATCCTCGACAGGACTTGATTGGCAGGAGGCAAAAGGCGATGAGGATACTGCCTGCGGAATCGGTCATTTTCACCCGGCATGGCTCCAAAGGTTTAGTTCTCCGAAATCGTTTCTCATCAGCAATGGTCTTTTGGGTCTCTTGAATGGAGCTACCTTCGCTCACTTCATCGGTTGCATATCCACTTTAGAGAAACGTTACGCCTTCGAAACAAAGATATCAGGTCTTATTTTGATGTCCGAAGAGTGGATTCCATTTTTCATAGCTTTCTTATTGGGGTACTTTGGAAGTCGGACCCACAGACCGAGATTCATAGCCGCAGCCATGTGCGTATCCACTCTCAGCAGTTTTGTTTTCGCGAGTCCTTACTTTTTGTACGGAGCCATAAGGGACTCATCCGTTTTGAAGGAATATGCCAATCAGACCGATTTTCAGCTGTGCGGAAAAATTGAAACGTACGAAACATGCAACAAAAATCCCAGAATCTTTGCTATCTCGCTCATATTCTTTGGAATTATGTTGAAAGGATTGGGAAATATAGCATTTTATTCGGTTGGAACTCCTTATTTGGATGATAATATTAACAAGAAAAATTCCGCACTCTACTTAGGTAAGTTCCTTTTTTCTCAATCAAAGTTTTTTTAATTGTTTTTATTGAATGGTTAATGAACCGTAGGAAACTAAGCTCATATAGCAGTTGAAATTCTTTGTAAAAGACTTCCGGGTTTCTAGTTCCAATTTATGGGTTGTTCTAAACTTTTTTTTTAAAAAAAAAAAAAACTCGTTATATATATTGAACTATGTGACTTGCGCTATTTACCGTTCAATCTGTAAATCCCTTTCATTTTTGCTGGAAATAGAAAGAAAAAAAACGTAAATAAACTTTCAAAACAAGGTAATCCTTGCATTTAATATATGTCATGGTATTATTTTCTTTAAATAGATTTATGACTAGACATAACGTAGATTTATGACAATAGACTTACGAAGTGAAAATTGAAGTACAATTTTAATAACACAACTTCCTTGAATATTAAGACTGTTCTCTTATCGTCCCGTAAACGTAACATAAGTGGAAGAATGCACCGGAAACATTCGAGATTCTAATACCGGTTTAAGAATTTCGTTTTTGTTTACACTTAGTGAACCAGCTATAAGAATATTCAATTTTTGATCCACCCCTTTCACGCATATTGATTCATTTGGTGCGTAGCATCACTCACGTTCAAATATGTAGGTTCTGTTGCAGTGCAATTATCCTCCAAATCCTCCAATAACTGAAAGTCTTCACGTAGTTTTCATAAGATTGTCTAATTACGCAACTGAAAGAAAGGATTTGACTTGCACATTTAACCTTGCATAGGAAAGGAGTTAAAACAAGAAAGCGAGAGAGAAAATATATTTTAAAGCCTACATAAATAAAGATGAAAGCCGGGTAGCCTGGTTGGCAGGTACTGGATCACGTTCCTTAGAACGGGAGTTCGAATTCAGCGCCCGAAGACTCCCCGCTTAGTAAATGGTGGCGGGTGCACTCTAAATCTGTAGGGTCACAGAGTCCACCATGTTTCCATAACAAATTTTACCTCTGAGGGTACTGAATTGGAGATGGATCGTTCTCTGGTTCAGATCAAAATTACAATCTGTGGATGAATGAATGGGTCCGCCCTATAAACTTGTGTGACGTATGGGTGTAGCAAAAGTTGAATTCTTGGCCACAGATGGCGCCACTGGAAAACAAGATCAATCGCAACCCTTGCCTTAATGGCCTACGACAACAATAACGATGAAAAGGTGGTTCGCGAATCCCAATAGCAACATCAAATAAGGAATCGTCTGCTTTCCTTTTAAAAAGGAACTTATTTTAAGATAAATTTTAAATAAAATCAAAATAATGTGTGGAAATTTAACTGATACTATACCAACTCGATTCTTATAAGTTGCTCGCAATATCGTATTCTCTTATTTTTTGTGTGCAAAACTGTTGTATTTTTAAAAAGCATATATTTTCATCATTTTTATTTAGTTTTCCTAAATATGCCAAAGATGCCCGGTGACTGAGTGGCAGCGCTTCGAGCACTCGTGCAAAAGGTCCTGGGTTCGATCCTCAGATCGGGCAAGGTTGACTCAGCCTTTCATCAATTCAATGGGTCGATAAATGAGTACCAAGCATGCTTGAAAGCTAAACACTGGTGGTTTCGCGTTCGGCTGACCACCTGACCGGAACATCTGCTCCTGCACCCCGGAGCCCAAAGCGAAGAAAACTGAGTTGGGCACAAAGTAGGCCTTGGACCTCTATGGGCTGTCGCGCCACTCAGTTTAGTTTAAATATTCCAATAATTACCGATATATTGTGTTCTATAATAATTGAAACTCGAATAATAATTGTGTTCTATTAAAATTTGAAACATAGAGAATTGTCCGCAATAACTTCCCTCTCAAAAACTTTATTTCGTTTCACTGATGCCATACTAACTCCCTTCGTAAAATAAAAAAAGTTTTAACGAAAGAAAACTACAGTGTAATGATAGGACTGAATATGCTCCAGAAATCACTCAATAACGGGATTGTGTGAAGAGAATTAATACAATCAGTGTAGAGCGCGCATTAGATGCTCGTTTAATCATTGAAGAGTTATTTATCAAATTATCATTTTTAGTTGAATGCAAGAGAATATTATGTTTCTGTTTCATTCCTTTTTGTTATGAAATTGTCGACTCATAAGTAGGGTTACAGATTTTGACAAATCTTCTAGATTACGTAGATACGTTGTCGTTTAGGATTTACAAATGTGATAGATCTATATGCGATTTTGACAACAGAGGGCGCTGTTCTCTTTCCTGTTATTAACTGTACCCGGTCTACTTTTTCGCCATTTAACTATCCTGTATTCACTTTTTGTCGATGTGTTGTAATGTTTATAGTTTGAGTTAACATTTTTTATTTACAGTTGAGTTAAAATACTCATGTTTATATGAGTGTTTTAAAAAATATTAATTACAAGTGAAAAATAAAGATCATGCTAGACATAAGCTATGAAACAAATATCAACTTGCAACCAGTTTACTTCAATTTTAAAAATTCGCTAGATGAAGCAAGAAATGAGAGAACTGCTGATCTGAGGCTATATAAACACAACTAAATTACAAAATGAAACACAACAAACAAGAAATAAAAATTGAATCAAATCAAGGCTGCCAATTGAAGAGATTTCATTCAAAATTAGGCAATTTTGTCTCTTCTTTAACAAATAAAATCTAATTTAGTCTTTAATAGTTATTAGAATCCAATGGTAGAAAAGCTATCTCATGACTCGTAAAAAAACTAAGTTCAGATTCTTATTTAATTTTATGTTTCGATAAAAACAAAATAAAAATTTGAAAATATCGGAAAGTGGTATAAGCAGTAGTGACTTCCTAATTGGAATAATTCTTGATGTGCTTTGGTCGTTTGTTTAGGTTTACTTTTTTGTTGAAATCACCCTCTCTTTATTGACTCCAATCAAATGTGTGTAAAAGAAAGAAAAAAAGAAACATAACATAAACGAATACGCTTGAAATAATGATCATATATTGGGACTCCAAATTAACATTGAAGGTATTTTGACTATTTGTAAACCTAAAAGTCTCATACATATATAATTAAATTTTAAAGAATAGATTTAGCTGCAATAGGGGAATGACGTTAAAAGCATGGTGGTTAAATGAAAAATGCGGAAAATAGGCAGGGAACTTATATTAGGGTGGTGTAAATTCTTATTTAACGGAATAAAATTCTTAATTTGACCAAATCATAAATAAGCAATGGTAATTATTTTTAAATATAATAAAGAAGCATCAAGAGTAACTTTAAAGAAGTAGAAAGCTGCCAACTTTTCCTATTTCATCAGGAAAATTTTATTTCTATATAGCAAAATTTTTACTTTGATATTTCATTTTTTATTTAGAAAAAATTTCATTCAAAACATATAGGGGAGAGTCGGGTAGCCCCGCCCACTTAAGGAGTATTGCTTATATTTATGTATAATATTGAGTAATAATCAATATTTTTGAATGTTTCTATTGTTTTACCATCTAATTAAATAATGCAAAAAGAATTAACCAAGAAAAGAATAGTTTAATTTAAAAAAAATAGAAATTTAAAAAAACATGTTTTTCAGTTCTTTTCAAAATGTGTCGGGTTTCAAAATAAAATTCATTTATCATTTTAATCACGAACTTATTTTATTTATTACATATTTATATACTTTTAATGAATTCTATCATTTAATGACAATCATTTAATAACAACAATATTTGTTGTTAAAAATGCATATAACATTCAAATTTGAAGCAATAAAATAATAATCTTTGCAACCGTACATTTATCGACGAAATAAAATTGGGTGATGATACCCGACATTCATGTGAGCGGGACTACCCGAAATCCAATTTTTTTGTAAATTTGTAATTACTCGAGCAATTTTTCACATATAAACTTCTTTCTTCGTGCAAATTAAACTTAAGACTACATACTTTAATGCTCTATGTATAGAAAAAAATAATTTTTTTAGTATTAAAATGAAGTTTAATCGAAACATTCAACCAATTTTTCTTAATTTCATGACTACTGTACTCAATATATTTCCAAAACTATTGTTTACAATGTTAACAGCTGCATAAATACTTGAAACTTTGAAAATAATCTTTTCTTACTATAACAATTAATGTCCGATGGCCCATTGACTTGAAAAAATATTCTATGCAGATGAAATTGACTGTGGGCGGGGGTACCCGCTGGGCGGGGCTACCCGACTCTCCCCTATATTACTTATTTAACAGTTTCATGTTTAATAATTTAATTAATAAGAAAAAAAGTTTTAAAAAAAATTAATTTGTTGCTAAAATGCATTTTTTACTACCTCGCAAACCGAATAATTTGGTGATTTCTCGTTAATTACAAAATCGAAATCGAATATTCCCCTCTAAAAATTAACCTATTAAAGACACCTTCGTTGAATCCCCGCATTTTTTTTAAGTTAATATTTTTCTTCCAGCAATTTCAATGACCATTCAGTTACTGGGACCAGCATTAGGATTTTTGCTTTCCTCTTTTTGCCTACAATTTTACGAGGATCCTTTCTGTAAGTAAAAAAATACTTTTCTTTTGTAAAATAATTTCAATAATAAGAAATTATCTTTAAAAACAAAATTAAAACAATTTTTTAAAATGAATGTAATCTTCAAATTGTTAAAGTTTATTGTTAAAAAAATTTTTTTTTAAAAATTGTTGCTCATAAATAAATTCCGCCGGCAATTAGTTTTCCTGGAAGAACAAGACAGACTCTTGATGGATCGAAGAAACTACGTCACCACACAGAGGGACATCTTAGAATTGAAATTTGACTGATCCTTCAATTTTAGCTACCTTTCAAATTCCTTCCTTTATCCTTACAGATCTGGGAATGCATTCTCACATTTTTACCGCGAGAGGCACAGTAGACAAAATTTATATTAAATTTCAGAATTTCGAAACTTCTTTTTTCTTGAATTTTTCAACTCGACTGTAAAATTTTACTTCTAGGATAGATTGTGACAAATTTCAGTGTAGGGAATACCAAACAATGTCCTACGCATTCCTGCCAGTTTGTTATCCCAGTTTACCTTTCCATTATTAACCATAAGCACGCCTTTTGGTAAACGGTATGATAAATGCACATTACCTGGTAACACTTGCTCTGTATTCCTTACAACCGGTATTTTTTGCACTGTTTCCAACTTGAGAGAAAAAATTGAAAAACTATTAACATAAGGAAGCAACTTCGAATGAAAGAAATAGTCTGAAACATCAATTCTCCACGCGATGTCATTTATTCGATCCATCAGAGCCTTCCTTGTAAAGAGCTAATATGCTGGATCTGTTTCTATGTGGAAGCTATATCCTTTTTAAACAAAATATTTTTATTCTTTCTATTATTTCAAATTTTCATTACTATTGCGCGGCGTAAGTAAGAGTGGAATTTAGTAATCGATAATTAGACGACTTTCTGACTGCTTAAATCATGCAAATCTTCTGCGCCTGATGGCCAATGCAAGTTCAATCTGCGAGCAGAATTTGTCGCCCTATTTTTGTCGAAAGGCAGATTCTTTACCTTGTTGCGGATCTTATCGTTATAGTATGGATGCATAAAATTAAATCTCAATTGAAGTTTCGGTCATTTTGCAAACAGTTAGTATACCCCAAATCTCCACAACTACTCTCTCTGTCAAAAAAAAAAGAAAAGAAAGAGAGAAAACAAAACAGATTTCAATCGTTTTTTGACCACCATAAACATAATTTTATCAACGAAGACATTTTATCATCAATCGAGCACTTAAGTATTTTTCAACTACATCAAATGCTCAAAATTTAACTGGAGCTGTGTGCTGATTGATAAAATATGGGTGCATGTGTTTCTTCTAAATGATACTAACAAAATGTGTTGCCATTTTATATTCAATTGAAATTTCACTTAATTTCCGAAAAAAACAAATTGACACAAAACAAAAAGAAGGAAGTAAAAATGCTTAAAAGTTACGTTTTTTAATATTTTTATCGAGTCGATTCAAGAAGAATAAATAAAAAAGAAATATCCATTAGACTAAAAAAAGATGCTAAAAATACGTATCCTGTTGACTAAAAAAGAAATGCTAAAACAGAAAAGCTTATCTAGTATATTGGTGCTAAAAAATATAGAGCATAGCTTTAAGAAAGACTTGGGAGGGAATTTTCTATGGTGACAGAAGTGGATTACGAAAGTGGTGCTTTTGACTTAGTACGAAAAAAAAATGAAAATATTTTTTCCGTTTTTTATTTTATTCGAGAACGCATTTTAATTTTTTTACGTTTGTAGATGATCCTGGATATGGACCAGAAGATCCACGATGGATCGGAGCCTGGTGGCTTGGATTTGTCATCATAGGCATTTGTATGTTTTTTGTCATGTTGCCAGTGTGGCTCTACCCGAGACGATTTCCCGGTGGAAAAGAACCAGAATCTCACAGGAAAAAATCTTTCAAATCCATGACCGACTACTTAAAAGGTAAGAAATAATTTTTTTTAATGAAAGTTGTTTATAAAAAAAAGAATCTAAAATGGATTTAACGATAATTTTAGACATGAAAAACATTTTGTTCCGCTTCTACAAGAACCCATTGTTAATGTGCAACCAACTTGGAGCCATCATGAGAATTAATGGAATCGAAGGCTACTACATACTGATGCCCAAATATCTGGAAATGCAGTTCAAACAGACAGCTTCTATGGCCAATCTTCTATCAGGTAAAAAAATGCACTGATTCATCAATGAGATGCCCGAAAGTGACGTAGTGTGGGTATCTCCATCCTGATTGGTTGTTGAACATAGGAATTTTTTTACGTTTGCAACTGTTCTTTCCATTCAATTTCATGCAAGCCATGCTCGTCAAGCATCAATTCTCTAAAATGATACATTCTTACACAATCTGTATTCTTACACAAAGATTCTTTCACTGTTTATTGACACAGGAATTTAACACAAAGACAGGCACGAAGCCTTGTGGAACATAAACAAACTAATTATGCATCGAAGTTGCCAGGTACACAAAACAAAAATATATCACGGTTACAATAAAATACATAAACAAATAATAAATCTAAGCTAAGTAAAAGATGTAGACCAGAATGAATTATATTTCAACTAATTCTATGTGCGATACGGTTCTGCATTTAATTAACTTATGGTTCATTAACATTCTAACTTATGTAAAGAAACTTAGCTCAACTTTAATTTGCCATTTTGCTGACAAAGATTAGCTGGCGCTGTCGTCATATGTGTGGGTATGGGATGTCTTCTACTTGAAGTGCAAGTACCTAATGAGTTGCGTTATGCACAATCCATTTTGAAACTTAGTTTGTTTGCTTATTTTATTGCGATAAAACATCCTTTGTTAGACGCCTGGAAAATGTAACGTTTCAAAACTGTTAAGATTTTCTGTCAGTCCGTATCGAAATCTTATTCTTTGACTTGAAAATTTTTATTGACTTTATTTGGGGATTGAAGGTTGGTAAACCTGTGAATGACAAAATGTCAATACAGATGTTAGATATTGATGGAAGAGTGTTTTGAAACGTAGAGACTGGATTGACACCTCGAACATTTGAAATCAGTGGTTGGAAGAGCTACATTATTTTTATAGTTTAATTCAACTACTACAAGTTTATTACAAATGTAGCTAGCTATAACAACTACATTTTTTTAAATGTAGCAACTGCGAACTACTTTGGAATTGTAGTAACTCATTCACAACTTGAATGGGAAGAACTTTGCTGGAAAACTTACACCCGTTTTTAAAATGGTTTTGAATAAGAAATTGATTTACATTAAATATAAGGGTATAGTTAAGAATTATTTATTTATATTTACACGATCCAGTTTGTTATTTCAAAAAATGTTTTTTTTTTCGAATTTGTTTCTTTAACTTTCAACTCACTTTTCATTCCTTTTCAGGCAGCGAATATTTATTTAACGAAAGTCGAAATTATCACATACTCGAATTGTTTAATTTCTTAATTGTTTGATGCTCTTTTATTTCCTCTAAGAAATTAAGTAGATTGAAAATACCTTTGAAATAACATCAATGTTTCATGGGTGTGCATGTGAAAGTGTGATCGAAGTGATTAATTATCAATTGCTTGTAATGGCACGTTTATATATTAGTTATACGTGATTTTAACTGAATCATTTCTATTAACTCTCAGCTTTAGTGATAGGATCATTTTCATTGCATCCATTGACGGACCCATCAAATTCGACAATTAGTTGCATTTGAGCAGCGTTTCTATTCCTTACTAACGTTTTTTTTTTCTTTCGTATCGCACTACTCACTACACTGCTTTTTAAAAAAGTAGCACTCTACACTACAAGCTGCGAAAAAAAAAGGAGCGACTACAGTAGTTTCGCTACTTGTAGTGCGCTGTTTGAAGTATGACCAGAAATTTGGTGAGTGTATTTTAAAAACTGATAGCATTATAACAGAAACCAAGCTAAAATGATTTAACTCATATTGGAAAAGCAGCTGAAAGTGTTGAAACATTCACAGAAATTCTAATGCAGCACTTACACGCAATTTTGCTTTATATAACAGGATAGTTGGGTTAAATATTTTTGAAAAAGCATTTCAAAGAAGTTTAATTTTATAATTAAAGTTGATTATTTTTAAATGTTTTGTAGAGATCATTTTGCCAACTCATTCATCATTACGTGGAAAAATATTATTGAAGTTTGGTGTGGAATTAAAGCAGAAATTTATGGAAGTAAATAATTATTTATCCGAGTGTTTGTTTCTCGATGAAGGTAAACAAATGTAATCAAGTGGTAGTAAATTTGGATTAATAATAAAATTATATATTTTATTTATTTTCGCTAAAAAGCTTCACGGTAATGAAATAATATGTTTTAAACACTATATGAATTAATTTTGAAAAATGGCGTGAAGGGTGTGACCTCCTCTTCTGAGGAGTAATATTAGAATTGTTGTCACCAAGAAAAGTAAATGAATCCATGTATTGTATATAAACTGATTGCACACGCATTCAAATGTGTTGAAGGAAAAGAAAATCTGAGAATAAATAATAGCGTATTTTTATGGTAAAAAAACATTTAACAAATATTTTATGTCAATGTGTTAGGGCTGATGTTGAAAGAATCTCTAAGAAAATGTTTTACACTCATTTCAAGGTTGTGGAATATTGATAATAATAATGACTTTTATTAATTGAGAAAAAAATTATATGAAATAATAATATAGTTTTTTAATTCCAAGATACGCATTTACTCTGGTCCTTTCGATCTATTTTCAGTCCTCCCAGAAATTCACAGAAATTCTAATGCCTCAGCCAGTTGAATGTTGCTCAAATTTCAGTCACTTTCGATCACATTTGCTACCAATGAGATAACTAAAAGACTCATTAAATCTTGTCTATCCAATTTTTTTAGTCATACTTTTTTTTCATTTACTTTCATATTGTTTTATTCATATTGTATTATTCACTCTCATACTGCAAATGTCAGTCCAAATATCGACAATTTTATTTATTTTACTTTTAAATATTTCTGTCTGAGAATCTTTAGTGAATACACATTGTTGTTGTGATTCGTTGACTTAAGCTTTTTTAAGTAAAAAATGTTTAAATGAATTGTAGTCATTATAACACATTTGGGATAACGGGTGTTGTTCTAGGTTATCCGTAAGCTTTTCGACTAGATTAACTGTCTCGACCAGAATCAACTTCACCATAATCACACATAAAGAATTGAAATAGTCATAAAAATCAGACCAACCTAAGTATTCATAACAGAAAGCGCTCTACTTGGAGTTGCTTAGCGGACTAGGTTCTTCCTTTTATTTTCACCGACTCGCATTTTTAATGCTCTAACATAATATTAATTCAAAGTATTTTAAAGCTCCTTTTATGTGTAAGTTATTCATTATGACTGTCTTGGCGGCGATTTTAATACCATCAATACAATTACTGAAGGAAGGAATAGAATATCTTAAGAAACGTTTATTGGCTGAGATTGAAAACCCATCCAGCCTATTGAATGACAGGAGGCCCATTTTGCAACCCATGACTTGAAATGTAATGGCGTTTATAAAAGGTTATATAAAAAAGATCATTGGACCCATAAGTAACCAGTGATAATGCGATTATAATTTTCTCTCTTTTGTAATAAATCTTTCGTAATTAATCTAATAATCATATTTGTATACTCTTTATATTTTCGAATATGATTTGCTAGAGTATCTTTTTAAAGATTTTTTTAAAGCTAATTACAATATAATTTAAGAAATGCGGTTGAACCTACTCATTAGTATGAATATTTCATTTGTGTGCAGGTTAGTACTAAACAAGCATTTTATATTAAATTTCGAATGTTTTAGGTCCAGTTGTAATTGTTCTAATGATGGTGGGTATCATGAGTGGAGGATATGGAATAAGCAAGTTCAGACCAAGAGCCCGAAAACTGACTGGAGGAATTGTAGTCACTCAAATACTGACGATCGCGAGCTTTATCGCTTGCATGCTTATTATGTGCCCATCAACAGAGATGTCGGGAACAGTGTAAGAAGGTTTTTGAGATATTTTCATATAAGGGGGCAACTCTATTTATACTAAATATTCACAACTTATGCAAATATCTTGGCAAGTGTTATTTAAATTATAATAATTTTTCACATTGAATATTAGGACATCAGATTATCTTGAACAATAAATGTATGGTAAAAACTATCAATGTTGCGCACATTACATGATTTGGATAATCCTATATTTCAAGTGTAAGATAATTCCGTTTTGTTGCATACATATTTTATAAAAATACAAGAAAATAAATAAATACTTTCGAAGTTATTTTAAGGATTTTTAAATAAATTTAAAGTTTTTTACTTTTCTGTTAAAAGTGATAGCGCGTTTTCGCCCAGACATGCATCAAAATATTAAATTGTTCTTCTAAAAATATCTTTCTCGCAGTAAAACTTAACTTATTTTTTGTTTTTGCTATTTGTCAAGGGTATTATCGAATCTTTAATTTTTTTAACTCTTTTTTTTTATTTTTAGACATCTACTATTTTTCTTAAAGCGTGACATTGACTCAGTTATCGTTTTGACTAAATGTTGCGTGCTTTAAAATTGGTATTTTGAACTGCAGTTTACCGAAGATGAAAACTGAAATTGTAATATTTTAAACTTAACTTTTAATAAAATCTAAATAAATATAGTTGTAACAGTTGTTTCACGTTCACAGTTACAGACTTCATTCGATGTAGAGAAATAAAGAAAGAGGAAGGGAAAAAAAGCGAGAGATCCGTTCAGTTCATGTCAGGTAACAATTCGGATTCGGAAAAGTAGATTACAGGCTCGAATGCAGTGGCTCCACCACAACATCAAAATTAACCCTTTAGTTAAAAAATGTTTTAACGTATTTTTTAAAAAAAACTTTTGAAATAAATTATGTTAATTTCTGTCACAAGACCGAATTATAAATTTACTTTAAAATTGCACTTTTACATTCTAAATTAACTTTAAACGCAATTGTTGTCAGAGCTTGGAGTTTTGACCAGTATTATATTCTCCCACCTTTTGAAAACTGACCATTACAGTTTTATGCTATATTCCAAGCAGCGGATTAACCTGGATTTAAATTACCAATTATAGCTGATTAAAGTTCGAAGTTAGTTTGTTTATCTTGATAATGCAGTATATTATTTTCGTTAGAGCTAAATACCTTCTTCCAAGTCTAGAGTCTATGAATCTCGTGCGATATTAGGATAAACAGTATTGAAGATTCTTAAAATTGCGAGCCATTTCTTGGAATACACTAAACTGACTTTATTTTTAAAGTGAAAAGCCACTGCACTGTATTCACTACAATGATGTTTGTTTTAACAGTTTTTTTTTAAAGTCACATGCTTTTTTATACTTTCACAATCGGACAAACAGAGCACATAAATTTTTTTTTCAGGTTTAGTTTAGAAAATGATTGTAATCATGAGTGTTATTGCACCACCAAGACATATACTCCGATTTGTGCACCTGATTCTAAATCGGAGTACTTTTCTCCCTGCTATGCTGGATGCACCGAGTTCAAAAATGAAGACGGCAAACAGGTATACCTAACGATGTTTTTGTTCGGTTCCTTAAATAGTAAAAACAGTCAGCAACATAAAGCATATACAGGGTGTCTCAGGATTGCTTTAAAGGGGTAAACTGTAAGGGGAGGACATCTCAATGATTCGCAACCCATGGTCTTAAATGTCATGGAAAAGTAGTATGACAGGTACAAGAAACAAAGAGACACAAGACTGAGATCATTTGAAATATTTATTTGTCAAAGATATTACATGTGCTGTGGTAGATGATATGTGAAAGTGTCACAAAAGATATTCACTATTGCTTAGCAATGCATGCCTTACACCGTCGAGCCATGGATTGGCGCTGAAATACACCTGGATTTAGTTGGATATACGCAGCAACACAGACAATTCTTGCAACCCGATTCATTTTGGAATCTGTAGGTGTTGCGTACACACCGCTTTTCAGTACGCCTGAAATAAATAAACCCATGTTGCTTAAATCAGGAGAGCGTGGTAGCTAGGGAAGCAGTCAATGACTCCCAATTCATCGGTGACCAAACACCTGATTCAAATGTTCACGAATACATCTGCCATAATGGGTAAGTGCCCCATTATGTTGAAACAGCGTTTGACATGGTTTGACATATTTGTGGACAGGGTCAAGCAAGTTTGGCAGCAGCTTTTGCAAAAAAAAATTCACTAAAAAGTGATAATGGGCATCACGGGGTCTTACGTCATGGGGATTCTTGCCACCTTATCAATGCACATTGCGGTGATTGAACACACCATCTCGCGTGAAGTACACCTCATCCGGATATAAACTTAAGGATGGAAAATGTGCGTCTTGGCGACATGGGTCGAGATGCCTAAGTGCAAAACGCACACGCGCAGGATGATTTGTGTGGAGCAGTGACAGTACTTTTTGTAGATAGTAAAGTCGTAAGTTTGTCCCAATAATCCTTGGACGCTCTGTATGAAACTTATGTGACTGTAGTTCAGGAGACGGAAGCTCATAATTTCGCAGTATGACTCAAAACACATAAATATAGTGCGCATGTAAATTTAAACATATTAAAAAGAAAAAAAGCATTAATCGAAATAAAAGTTCAGCGGGTCTATTTCTAGATTTCAAAGATCAAAATGAATCATTAAAATGAAGTCTTTCGAAAAGCACTTCTATTTTGACACTAATTCTTATGTTTCAGGAGTTGGTGAAAGGTACTAAAAACCAGATACTGTTCAAGTATACAAAAAATTAGAAAAAAAAAATACTGTCTTAAAATATCTTGAATAAGAACTTTTATTGGTATTGTCTGTTAAGGTTATAGGGGTTTCGAGAATTAGAATTTTTTTCAACTAGCATTGCTTTTCGAAACCTGTAATTTAATTTATATCACATTAATAATCCGTTATTTATTTAATATTTCCTTTATTTTTATAAAATTATTCGAGTAAAATGCTTGTGAGGGAAGAAAATTTAAATGAATGTTTTTTCTAATAATAATAATATAATAAATGAATTATTAAAATGATATTCAATTATGAAAAATTTCTTTATAATTTTATGTCCAATAAAATACCCAAATACGACAAAGAAGCAGAATGTTTCTATGTAACCATTTTCAATAAATTTTTCTTCCTCTTTCGTTTTTATGTTAATGTAAATCGCTTTTCATTCATTTTCAGTTTATTCAGAATCAAATTAAGAACTCGACTCAATGGCCACTTCAGACCTGTGAATTCAACTGTCTGACAAAGAATCCGCTTTCAAGACTAATATTGAAGAAAAAAAACGATTTAATGAAAAATGTCCCGCATTCACTGAATATTTTCTAAATGATTCATAAAATTTAGATCATTACATATTTTTAAAATAATTAATTATCTTTCGTTAATTAATGTATTAACAATTGCTGATGAAATTTATTCATTAAATCTCGGTGTTTCTCTAAAAGAAGCTCTATCATTTATGGTTTCACTGTCGAAAAAAATTTAACACCGCTACCTCAGTCTATTTCAGCTGTAGCTCTTGAAGCGATTTCTTTGCATTCATAACTCTATACGATTTAATGAGTTTTAAAAATCTAAATTCCAACAATGAAATTTACTACCACTATTATAAATTTATAGGATCAGTAGAAATCGTCTAAAAACAGCTGTTCACTTCTAAAGTCTTTGCTTTTTTTTAAAAAATAAATAATGACTGATTGATTTAAATGTTATTTAGGAAATGGGCGATATCACATTACGAATTTATTTGCATTAATGAGTTATTTCTTTCAAAAAAGAACAATAAAGAAGTTTGAAAAACGGAATCAAATCGTCCATTTATTAAATAGTACTGTGCATTTTATTAACTGCGCCTTTTGACCGGAAAAAAGCTTACCGAAGACACGTTTCTTGATTAGGTTAGTGATTCTCATGATCTGAAATCAAAGTTCTGGTGTTCTAAGGTAGTTTGAGTGACGATCTTTAAAATTATTCAGATTGGAGTTCCAAAAGCAAAATACTTCGGATTCGCTTACTTGGTGAAGTTTTTCTCAAACTGAGTTGAAATGATTTTAATTATTTCTAGCTACATTTCATTCACTTTTGTTTTAAACAGACAAAGTATATGCTAAACTACACTAAAAATGCTTAAATTGTTGATGAACTATCTTTAAATGCCAAAATTGCAACTTTTAAGTTTGTAGTAAGAAATAAATGATTAGCAAAACAAAACGTTTTATCAAAATATGAACTATTTTGATGGGACCGAATAAGTTTTGATAAAAAATGCCAATGAAAGCAATTTTTTATTTCACATGGTTATTTTACATTATTTTTCCATATAATCGATACTTTGAATAGTTGAAAATATTTTCTACAGTATACCTATAATTTTGAGATTCCGCAAATGTCTTGTCGATCACTGCTTGTAAGTTTAAGGGAAGCCAATCACAGACTCGTATGTCTCAACTCGCTAATTACGCTAGATATAGGAACTCTAGCTGGAATTAAAACTATTTATAGATTGTCTGATAACGTTTGTATTCTTTAAGCAAAATGTAGCAAGAAATCAGTTTTCATTAAAATGAGCGTGAAGAAGCATTTAAAAAAGTGCTTAAAACAGCACATTCGGAATGAACATTTGCTATTGGAAGATAAAACTGTTTTATTTTTCTGTTATCAGGTGTACACGAACTGTAGTTGTGTACAGGATGAAGCTGGAAAATTCCGTCATGGAAATGCTGAAAATGGTTTCTGCGGATTCCATTGTCAGGGACTTCTTGCATACGTCATAATACTTTCTGCCGGAAAATTCATGTTCTCATCACTGGGGGTCGCTAATCCACTCATCACACTCAGGTAAATCATACGATGACTCTAAAATGTTTCGTAATGTTTAAAGCATTTATAGAGATTGTTTTTTTTGGGTTTATTTTCGAAACTTTCGAAAACGAGAGTTATAAAACTGATCAACTATTAAAATTGTTTGTTTTATACAGTAATGTTTAAAGCGTTCGTAATATTTTTTTTCGGTATCTTTACAAAATTTTTGCAAACCAGAGAAATAAAAATCCAGAGTAGTCATTAAAAAATTCGTGTTTTTCATAGTAATGTTCAGAGCATTTGCAGTACTTTTTTTATTATTTCTCAGAACTTTGACAGACGGGGAAAAAAAAATTCCCCTTTACACATTTGCTACTTTCCAGCGTTATTTACTATCTCCTTCATAGATCCAAACAAGACACATCTTGGTAGATATAGATTCGTTACAATGAACAAAAAAAATAATGACCCTGATGAATCACTTTTGACATGAGGATCGGATTTTCACAAACTAAAAGCCAATATTAATGGGCGATCACAAATTTAGCTACTAAATTGGACATAAAATCTCTGAAAAAAAAAAACAATACTTTTTCTTCGAGGAATTTGAATTTTAACAAACAAAATGCGTCGGGGGGGGGGGTTAAGACGACATCTGAAAAATAGGGTGCCAATAGGATATTCGTCGAAAGTTTTGTTATCTTTTCGTGCATTTTGCTATATTTTCGGAATTTTTTTAAGGAATTGAAAAATGCTTGAACACAATTGCAAAAATCATTTTTCTTTTCATAATTCGATATAAAAATAATTATGAATTTATGTTCTTAATTTATAATTTTATTTAATAATGATCGGAAAACTTCTGAGTTGTTAGCAATACATATTTTGAAATTAAAACAATAATACATTTCTACAATAATACTAAATTTGAATAGAATACGTAAAGTAGCTAATGAGTTATATATATCTGTGTTTCTAAACTTTCGTTTCTCCAGAGCGGTTTTCAATCAAATCAAGAATTTTGTCATTTATCTTTGCATTCTTTAATTAGATGCAAAAATTAGTACTGCTTACAATTCAAATATTTTTTTAACAATAAAAAAATATGTATCAAATATTTTTTAATAATTATTTATTATTTATAGCATGTAATTATTTTTCTTTGAATGAAGACATTTTATAATTGTTTACAAAGGAATTTTCGATTCGCTTAAAAACTTCCTGGCATATGGCAAAATAAGTAAAAAGTAAAATTAACAATCGGAAACATAAACTTTGGACTGAATTATTGGGACCAGAAATCCATTGAAAAATAAAAAGGTATGTTAATTCAGAGAAAGTACAATTTATGTCTGATTCAATAACTTAATAGTTAGCACCCATTAATTGGCATGCGTGAGATCAATGGATTGAATGATTGGCACGTTGATTGTGAAAAATCTATCATTTGAGCATAAGTTATTCATAGTGATATCAAATATCAATTAACTCTTGTAATGTATGCATTTAGGTCCGTTGATCCTGATGACAAGGCAATGGTGTTTGGTGCTGTAGGTCCTTTATATTCTTTGTTAGGTAATTATCTGTTTATGCAAATGATTTAACATACCGAGTGTACAAATCATTATTCTCTTTTCTTATGTCGTACATTCGTGATTGAATTTAATCGAAAATTTGAAATGCAAATTTCATAGTGCAAATGTAAACATATAAAAAGTGAGATGTTACTATAACTATTACTAAAGTTACTATTTAAATACTTTTTTTTAAGTTATATATCGGATAAACAATAATAATTAAGTTTTGTCAATCTAAAACTTTAATTTTTGATCATTATAATACGTAAGATAATTGTGTAGGATATTTGAAATACTTCCAAATGTGTCGATAAATACGCACGAGCATTTAATTTTTATCAGTGGCTAACACTTAATTAGTCAGAAAATTTCATTTCGCTCATCCCGCTCGAATGGATTTTGTAGAATATTCGAAATTCGACTTTTTACGTGCTGTCTGTATGCTGCCAAATTTAATCACTTCGGATCGGTATATTTTATTTTATAACCGCCGTTGAACAGTCTACCCAATTTTTGGGTTTACAAGCTTTCGATGGAACTAACCCTCCCATGAAGAAGAGCACCACGGTTAGCCTGAAGGCGAGGAGACTCTAACTCATGATACGTCTACAACTGAGGATATTTTACGTCAACACCGTGGTCGGTGCAAGCCGGATGCGGAATTCGTATCGACCAGCCATCACTGGGATTCGAACCCGCTAAACCTCATTGGAAAGCGAATGTTCTATCCCCATCACGGCTCGGTAATGATATGTAATAATAATAATGTGAACTTAATATGTAGCTAAAACATTTTTTTTGTTACAAATTTGGTTTACCCTTTTGTTAACATTTTCTGATACATAATTTAATGATTATTATTTCTCTTCTAGCATTCTTCCCTTATCCACTTATTTACGGCGCCCTCACGGATTCCAGCTGTCTCGTATGGCAAAAAAGTTGTGGAAAGACTGGAAACTGTTGGATCTACGACCTCGATGACTTCCGGTACAAACTTCACGGCACTACGATTGTATTCTTTTGCTTTGCTTGTTTCTTTGATATCTGCGTATGGATTTTTAGTAAGAATCTCAAAAATTTGTACGAGGAGCCTGTCTCCAAAGAACAAAAAGAAATGAACCCTTTGTCCACCCTCCATTTTGATACTGTTCATGATACGCGAAGTGAAACAGAATCGGATTTGGAATATGTTTCAAAAGAAGACTCTTTGAAGAGGGATTCTTAAAATCATTCATGGTTGTTTAGAAACCCTCGAAAGTATTGCAAAGAAAGATACAGATTTTTGTATTGTATTTGCAGAAAACATTTGCCGATTACTCTAAAATATGTCGACGAACCAGTTTCCAATGAACCACAAAGAGGTTCTGGTTCGCTATTGCTCACCAACCACCTTTCCTTTGCTTTTTGATATTACATTTATATGAATAAATATTTATTCAAAAGATCACGAAATGTCAGATATCGAAAAAGATTTGAATTAGCACAAAATTCGATCTCGATTGTAGTTATGATAAAATTTAAACCTTATCTCCTTCCCAATTTTTTTAAAATTCCTCCTTAATTATATATTATATATATATAAAAAAAAATCCTTTTTAATTTAAAAAAAACTGGTTAAATTCTTTATGTTAAACAGGTTGCTTAGAAATAGTGCAAAAAGTTAAGTCCTGAAATTTTATATTATTTTTCAAATTGTTCATTGGACACAATTTTATGCAAAGCTTTTAATGAAAGTGAATATACAGGGTTAGGGCAAAATAATGGAGACACTTCCGTACTTATACATTTTTTCATATTTCTCAAGAAAGGATTTGAGAATCATTTTATAACTTTAGAATTGTTTATATCATGCGATTTCTCATACTTTTCAATGAAGTGTAAGGCTTTTAAGGGTCTGAGGGACCGACAATAAATTGCGAACGGAAAATCTAGTTTTTGAACACCCTATGACAAAAAATGAAGGAATAAATTTGCAACTTTTTAACAATTATTTGATTTATTTTATGCAATAATTGCACAAAATTTCGTAAGTCTTGCTTTGATATTTATTAAGATATGGACATTTAAAAAAAAAACTTCGTCTTAAGCTTTTTTGCTATAACTTTAAAAACATTCAATAAAATTAAATAAAGTTTTTAGAGCTATTGAAAAGTAATTACAAAATTGTTGCTTTGAAATTTCAGAAACATTTTTTTAAAACCTGCGGAAGATATGAGTAATTAAAGTAGCTCTTTTATACTGCACATGTGCAGAAAAAATTGGAAACAATTTCGCTCATAATTTTGTAGAAAATCGTATTTCGCAACTAATAAAGGAATTGAATATCTTAAAAATTTAAGAAGTTTTAAGCCATTGTAGTTTCGTACTTTTTATAAGAAAAATGATCAAGGGTTTTCCACAAATATAAATTCGTATTATTAAACAAGAGTTTTTAAAAATGACACCGGCAATCATCCTCCATAAAAGCATCTTTTCTTTCGATTGTTTTATACAACCATATTTCGGCGTATAAAGGTTTATTGTAACGAATTATCTTTTGTTATTTAATTTTGCCTCTTGATATAAAAAATAATAATTGTAGAAAGCCTATTATCATTTTGAGCTTTGTTTTAAAAGGTGAGAAAGCTAAAGAAATTGCTTGAAACTTTTTATATTCTTAAGTTATTCAAATTAATTAATTTCATTATTAGCTAAATACGATTCACTACAAAATTATGAAGGAAAAAAAATGTCAGGTTTTTTTTTCCGCGTATGCCCGTTATAAAAGAACTACTTTAATGTTTTGAGCAGTTTTAAACAAGTTTTTCTAAAATTTTTAAGCAATATTTTTGTAATTAATTTTAAATTGCTGCAAGAATGTAATTCGATTTTATTGAATGTTTTTGAAGCTATAGCAAAATAGCGTTAGACAGAAATTAGTTTTTATAAAAATGTCCAAATTTTCATGAATATCTAAGCTGAGTTTAAGAAATTTTATGCAACTATTGCATGTAATAACTGAAGCAACGGTTAAAAGTAGCAAATTTAATTCTACATTTTTTTGGCATGGGGTGTTTAAAAACACTATTTTCCGTTTGTAATTTAATGTTGGCCCTCAAACCTCTAAAAGCTTTGCATTTCATTGAGCAGTATAAGAAATCGCATGATCTAAACACTTCTGAAATTATAAAATGATTCTTTAATTATTTCTTGAGAAATATGAAAAAAAAATGTATTGGTGTAGAAGTGTTTCCATTATTTTGTTCCTCCCTTGTGCTAATTTAACTCTAGAAAAGTTAATAGGTTAGATTCTGAATTAATTATGTTCATTGTAAAATGTTTCAGAAAGTGGTAGGATAATAAGTTAACTTTATAACAAAACAAAAAAAAAAGACCACTTTAGTATTTAAACTTTAATTCCGAATGAAAATCAAAAGGAATAACAATGGGGCAGAAAATACAAAAAAAGGAAGAATGATAGAATTAGGAATATTTTGCAGGTGCATAATAATCTCTTCTCAAAATCTTATGAGACTCCAAAAGAAATCTGGATCTTCATGTGAATTCACTAATACACAGTGAATTCTCTGCCTTTCTTATAAAAATAAATAATAAAAATAAAAAAGCGCCAACAACAATGCGAAAGCAGTTTATATCATTATGTTTTTATTTATTTATTATTTTTTTCAGTTCGACTTATCCGTCCTATCATTTCCTTATCCGTATATCATTTCCTTTCCATTACGCTATCGACATTAATATTTTTAGTAATGTTTTTAAAACTTAGCTTTAGTTATCGCGAAATCTGTAAGGAAAAATAGTTTCTATTTTAATCTTATTAGACTGTTGAACATTAATTTATTTTGTATATGTATGTATCAGTTGATATAGGTAATAATAGGCAGTCTTTGAGTGGTTTTCGAGTGAAAGAAGGATACAAGCGCATCTAGCTAATAACAGCTGATGAAAAATTTGAAACACCTGCCATTCGATAGCAAATTTAATCGCCAACTAGAAGAAGATTAATGAAAAAACAGTTTAAATCAGGGATTAATAGATTTTGTCAAACTATATCGTTTGGATAGAAATTATGCCAATGCCTAGTCTTTATTTCAACATAAACTTCAAAGCAAATTAAATCAAAATGTCAGTTTCAAATTCTATCCACGGAAATCTACCTATACCAAAGAATTTCCAGTAAAACTCACGAAGTCTTTATGTCTTATAAAAATACAGATACACTGCAATTTTTTTTTTTTTTTTTTGTTTTNTTTTTTTTTTTTTTTTTTTTCTAAAAGTATTTATGAAAAGTTTTTTTTTCTGAAATAAATCATCCTTTTCACATTTAAACTTTTTNTAAACTTTAAAGCAAATTAAATCAAAATGTCGGTTTCAAATTCTATCCACGGAAATCTACCTATACCAAAGAATTTCCAGTAAAACTCACGAAATCTCTATGTCTTATAAAAATACAGATACACTGCAGATAGTTTTTTTTTTTTTTTTTTTGATTTTCTAAAAGTATTTACGAAAAGTTTTTTTTTTCTGATATAAATCATCCTTTTCACATTTAAACTTTTTGAAACATTCAACCTTTTCAAACAAACTTGTAAGTTTCGGGCAGTTTAAATCTAATTATTCAAAATGCAGCTTACAAACGTGGAATTATTGAAGTATTAACGTCATAAACATTACAGCTCTTTAGTCCAATAAAATTTTAAACTACAAGTTAGGCCAACTGTTACTCTATCTGTTATTTTTCATTCGTGCTTAATTTGTACCAATTAAATATTAATGATAAAGGCAAGTATACTGAGTGCAAGAAACTGGATAACATTTGATCTCATGATTTAATTTCAACGTACTCAATCTTAATGGTTCGAGGACCTGACTAATTTGATTATGACTAACTAATTGACACAAGAATGTAATTTTTCTGAAAAATAGTGTTCCAATATTTTAGTCAGGAGAGTGATCACAATTTGGGGTCACTTAATATTAATTTCACTCCTTGCGTATTTCGCTATATCAAAGGAATCATAAAATTCCCACAATTATAAAATTCGTTTTTCGAAAGATGTACGAAATAATTTTGAATAAGTATTATATATAACAACTGTGGAAAATTTTTGAATTGAGTAAAAAAGTTTTACAAGGTGCATTTTTAACAAGGTAATTTTGAATGACTAAATTCGAATTTTTAACCAAAAAATTCTACAGAAAGGAAATTTTAAAAACACTGCTCTTTTGTATTTCATCAAAAATCCAATTCCGCACAAAAAAATGTGTTTATTCTGCGAAAGTACGTTTTTCGTTTGATTCTGTAGCTTAAAATGTCATCTGCACTATTGAATTGGTCTTTTTTGAACCCTTAATCAAGTAGTTTATGCAAATGCGGTTATTAGAACAAAAATTATTTTGCTGTTTTTTTTTCTTTCTTAGCACTATACTTTATCCCAAGAAGATATTTCAACATGCAACAATACTTCGAATTTAATTTGTGGAGCTTATTAGAAATTTTAGATAAACTGATTTAGATACAAAGCTCTTTATATTATTAAGAGAAGCTGCATATCATTATAATAGTTGTATGTCATTAAGTAATTGTCATAATATTTCTTGAATATACAGGGTGTTTATAAATTCCCGGACCCATTTTGATGTTTAATAACTCATAAAATAATGAAGATATAAACAAACTTATGGCATTTATTGATGGAATAACTCATATATTTTCCTTTTCAGGTTTGAATATCTTTACTTTTGTAAATATCGTCTGCGCGTGTGGTTAATTTCAGATAATTTCATTTTCCTGTCTAAATATCTGTACTTTTCTAAATATCGTCTGCTTATTAATTGCATTTTTCTCTCTTTTGTTTTTGGCAAACTATTGCAATGATATGTTTACTTTTGATGTGTTTGTTCTATGTAGAACTTTTCTATGTGATGTTTTATTCGAGCGGATATTAAGGAGAATGCATACACCACAAGAGGATTCACAGATTTTATGGTGGTTCATAGAAACAAAATCGATAGTGCAAGCACAGAGAAATTGCAGAAGAATTTACCAAAAAGAACTTCCATCCAAAAGCAGCATCTTGCGGTGGAAAAAGAATTTTCTAGAACAGGAAGTATTGCAGATAAGAAGCGTTCCGGTCGTCCCTGCACAAGTGATTTTGACGTTGAGCGTGGCAGACAAACATTTTTAGACAATCCTAGAAGATCTGTGAGATCAGCGGCAAGAGAATTGGATGTGCCAATTTCGACGGTGTACAAGGTTATTGAGAAGCAATTAAGACTGCATGCATACAAAGTTCAAATTGTTCAAGGTTTGGAACCGGACGATAGGCCTAGGAGGATGGCGTTTGCAACAGATATGGCAGGAAGGATAGAAGATGCGGCTGATTTTCTGAAGCGCATAATGTTCTCCGACGAAGCATCCTTTCATGTTTCTGGCATTGTTAATCGCCATAATGTGCGCATATGGGGATCTGAAAACCCCCATGAATACCGTGAGACACAAAGGGAATCCCCAAAGGTTAATGTGTGGTGTGGACTAATGCACGATCGAGTCATAGAGCCTTTCTTTTTTACAGAAAAGTCGGTCTCATCAGTCGTTTACTTAGACATGTTGGAAAACTTCGCATTTCACAACTAGAAGAGCTTCAGCTGCATGTCTTTTTGCAACAAGATGGTGAACCACCTCATTGGGGTATCATCGTTCGTAGTTCTTTGAATGACCATTTTCCCGGATTGGGCGAGAAGGTCCAATTCCTTCGCCACCCAGATCACCTGATATAACGCCGCTGGACTTTTTTCTTTGGGGATTTATGAAGGACAATGTTTACAGGAGGATCGTGTCGAACATTGATACCTAAAAGCCAGAATTACAACCGCAATAGCCTCTGTGGATGCCGACATGCTTGCCGCTACCTGGCGTGAAATTGAATATCGACTTGATATTCTCCGTGCGACGAAGGGACGTGGAAGTTCATTGACAAGGGTCATGGAACTTTTTGTGTCTATCTAACCATTTATGTTATTAATTTTAATCCATCTTTATTATTTTATGAGTTATTAAACATCAAAGTGGGTCCGGGACTTCATAAGCACCCTGTACATTTTCTTAGTATGATAAGTACATATTCTTGTTTTTTACATTCTTGTTTGTTATACAAGCTTCAAATATGTTATGTGTTTAAACTGGAATGGCATTTATTTTTTTAATTATTAGAGTATGTTTAATAATTATTGTAGTTAATCACTCAATCGCGATCACTTTTATGTTAACGATTGCGCAGTTGAGCACCGGCTGACATAAGGAGAATTGAATGTTTCGATTTGTGATTAATTGGTAATAAAAATCAAAAAAAATTAAATTAATATCAAAAGTAAGAATGAGATTTTTTTATTGAAAAATCAAATCGAAAGTAAATCAATCATACAATCGAAAGCCCATATGAAGCGTGAACAAATTAAAACATCGCTAACCAGCGTTTAAATTAGAATAAATTTTGTCTTAATTCTATATACTTCGTAGTCCCCTTTTTATCAAACATTAATATGCGTACATGATGAAATTAACAAAGGAAAAATCAGCGCATCGTAGTTTAATTGATTAGAAGCGCTAAAAGACTAAAAAGAAATAATTTAATTTAAAAAGGGTTTAACTAATACTTTTTATATAAGGATAAGTTTGAATGAAAAAAAAATAATTTCATAAAGATTAATAATAAAAAATTTTATTCTAACAAAATATCTAGATGCCCAAAAATTTACAACTCATTCTTAGCTAAGCAAATTTGGCCAAGTAAATTCAAAACTTCTCTGAAATTTCAATTGGGTTTCATTTTAGGGTTGGAAAACATCCAGACAAAACTATTTTTTCAGTCAGTTATTGTTTTTTTCTAAATAATTTTTTTCTAAAAATAATGGGGATTTTATTTTATTAAGGAAACCTTGTTACATCTATTTCTCAGTGAAATTTGGGTTTTCTCAGAGAAAACTCCCCGATAACTGTTTTTTTTTAAAATATGCCTGATAACCAAATTACTACTTATAATATTACATTTGTTATAGTTTCATATCTATATCATAAATTTCATGCATATAGCAGAATTAGATGTATTTTTGTATAAAATTGCTATTTTTCCCACTTTTAACTCTAAATTTAATTCTTCAAAAATAAAAATTATAGTAGGAATTTTACTATTTATATTGTATCGAATAAGAGTATTTTACTCTATCGTTATATCGTATATTTTAAGAGAGTGTTTTACTATGTCGTATATTCTCAGAGGCATGAAATTGAGCATTTAAAAATTGATGAAGTATTACGTTTGAAGCATTGACTAGAAACAACTTTTCGTGAAGAAAAGCATTGATTCACACTGAGCAGTCGAGAATGATGAGGTCTCATTTAGTTTGAAAGGAAATAAAGTTTTAATATTTTAATAGGGTGTCCAAAAATATAAAGAGAACCCTGATCGAATCTTTTTTTTTTTCAATTGACTGGTTTAAAAACGAAATTTCTGGAAGAACACAGTTCCTGTTTTAAGAATAAATTATTTCACGTTATACTGTAAAATTATCAATGGTACTAAAAAATTTGATTTTCTTTTAAAAAGTATTAGAGCTGATAATCAGAACATACGAATGAATTTTGCATTTCTCTCGACATGAAGTGTAAGATAAATAATATTTTCTTATAAAACTGGCTTTTTGAGTGCTAAGAAAGTTTCTGTCAGCATGGAAGGTCAAGCATATGAATAAGAAAACTCATCGGTTTGCTTTATCACATCGAAACAAAGTTATCATAGCTATGCGACGAAATATGAAAAGAAACAAATTTAAAAAAGAAGAAGAAGAAAATGGCGCAAATATCAGTGTTTGTTCCTGAAAGCGATGATGGTTTAAACATGGGAGATGGAACAAAAACGGAAACAACGCTCAGTTGGATTCATTGATATTTATTCTCGTTATTCTTGCCTTAACGAGAAAAAGAAATCATTTTTGTATTATGCCACAAATTATAATGTAATCGTTAAAACTATTTTTAAAACGAAAACTGTGTAGGAATTATATGTTTTCAATAACGTTTTCACTGAATGATATTATTTAGGAAGCACTTCTTTAACTAATTGTGTCTTGAGATGAGATAGTGTTTGAGATTTTGAGACAGATTTAATTATTTGTGTTTGTGACTTTTTTTGGATAATATATAAATTGATGTAAATAGAAATTGGGCAGAATCTATCTTTTTGTGGTTTCATATTAGTAATCTAACAAATCGGGAAATAGCTGCATTTGTAGACCTGATGATGAGAAAAAGTTTCAGAGCTATTGAAAATCAGAAAATAGAAGTACTAGTGCAGTTACAGACCGGACGTATTTGTGCTATTCAATGCCATAAAATTGCGGCATTTGTGAATTTACAGATCATGAAATAACCGAATTGGTGTACTTAAAATGTCTGTAAACGAAGATCGGAGAGGATCATTAGAACTCAGTTTAAAAAAGGTCGAAGCAGAGGAAGAACAGAATGAAAATGAGGACACCACTTGTGGAATCGGGAACTTTCATCCATCGTGGCTTCAAAAATTCAACACACCCAAAGCATTTCTGGTTAACAACGGATTTTTGGGACTTTTGAACGGTGCGACTTTTACGTATTTCATTGGCTGTATATCGACTTTGGAAAAACGTTATTCGTTTGAGAGCAAAGTGACGGGTATTATTATGATAGGTGAAGAAATAAGTCCTATATGCTTTGGATTTCTAATCGGTTATTTTGGCGGTAAGTCACACAGGCCGAGGTTCATCGCCTTAGCGTTGACGATAGGTTTCCTCAGTGCTTTGGTGATGGCTTCTCCGTATTTCTTGTACGGCGCCATACGGGAGGTGTCCAAGCTGGACCACTACAAAAATAGGACAGATTTCGAGCTGTGTGATTCGGCTGAGAAGGATTACTTTTGTGATAAGTTTCCAACGTTAACGGCTGTGACGATTTTCTTTATTGGAACTTTCATGAAAGGCTTTGCCGTCAACGCTTTCTACACAATTGGTACGCCGTATTTAGACGATAATGTTAAAAAGAAAAATACAGCTATGTATTTTGGTAAGTATTTATAATTTTTTAAGCATTAGTAAGGGTTTAAATTATCTCTGTACAGAAAATATTTGAAGTGCTGAAAATCGGTTTATTTAACACTTCAAATAGTTAATTTACGAATTTTACAGGCAATTTGCACATTACCTAGTCTACCTCTATGTTACCCATTTAATTTGTATGTTACCAAAACAAACACGTCTCCCATTATAGATATTTAGATTTTAAATAAAGCTTCATGTGCCGGAAATATGTTTTATTCAAATCGATGTAAGTAATTCCGTCACCCCCTTTGAAAACTATTGTGTGTTTTATAGGCTTATGGAATAACACATTGAGAATGCTGATAACATGTTGAAGTCATAAGTTTCATGAAACAGGAGGAAATATAATAATTTTCATTTTAACTGCGCAATGGACGTAAAATGCGGACGCACATGGCACATGCGCAAAGCGTTTTGATCGTTTCGCGAACTAACTCTACGAAATTTCAGCTCAATTGTATAAAATTTGTCTTCCTTGCTGAGCAACCAAGAATTTCCAATTTATTACCAGATAAATGTTTTAAGTGAAATTATTTAAGTACTCATTGCTTAGCAGATGTTTCGAATATATTTTTTTATTTTGAAATAAACACGAATTTGAAACACGTTGATGTAAAAGTAAAATTATGGCAAAATACATTTGTGATAGAACATTGAGATAGTTTGGTTTGAATAACACTTTTTTAGAAGAAAATTAAAGTCACTTTTCCAAATGTTTCATTATTTTCAAGAACTTTTCTGGTGATTGAGTTTCGAAATAGCTGGAATACAGCTAAACATGTAACACCCACTAAATGGAAACCACATGTCAGTTTTAAATCTATGACTTTAAAGATTCTAAATAGTTTGAAAAGAAATTTACCATCTATTTGTTAATTTTCAAAACTATCTCATTATACATATATTAAACCCTCTATTTATTTACTTACAAAACTATCTATTATACAAGTTAAACCCTCTATGGAACTGTAAGAAAGCAATAATTTGATTGATCTTTGATTATTTTTTTAAGAAGTGCCTTCGTATGATAATCCTGCTTCAAAATCGGTAAGATAAAAATCAAATTTATTTTTTTAAAATATGTTTTAAAACAAAATTTGCTCCTGGATCACTAGATCTTTACCTTTGATTGTTGCTTTTCCTCTTTTTCTAAATTTTCAACCAAAATAACAAAGTAAACATTTGGAGAGATACAGATACATTTCCGGTAAAGAGTTCTACGCAGATTTTATCCTGATATTCATCCCTAACTCCTAGATGTTTGTCGCAACATTTATGTCACTCCACCCCTGTTATGTACAGCATTTTTAAATTTGTATATGTCGACAATTAATAGACAAAAAAATTTTATTAAAAAAGTCTGTGGCCTTAGGAGCAAATCTAATTTAAAATCTCCACACTCGTATAGAGCAGGATCAAGCATTTATTGAAATGAAATAAAAAATTTGTTCCCCAGTGTTATCAATATTTTTTCATTAAATCGAAATTTTCTTAACCATATCTCATTAAAAAAATGTTACGACCTACTTCTCGTGTTTTAGATTTCGAGTTTTAAGAATTTCATTTTTTCAATTGATTCATTATTTAATGAATAAACAAAATTTTAGAAACGATTAGTTTTTATTTTTAAGAGAATATTAAATAAATTTTCTTATTGGTAAATGATTTTTACCTTCTTTCCCAGCTTTACAGCCCTTCGTGAGCTTTGGCTTTCTCTACGATGGAGTTTCACGTTCCTCCCTCCCCACATTTATTTTTCCAGTTTTTTTTCAAGTTTTCCTTAACTTGATTCAAGTATTGGTTTTTTTCTACTATTATATAACCTTCCTTTCATGATTTTCTTTGGCATTTCACTGTTTTCTTTTAATTTTGATTATTCTTATGGGTTTTTTTTCCTTTAATTTTTCTATTTCATGGTTGCATTTTTTTCCCATTATGCTATTTTCAGTAACGTTTCTATAGATTTTTCTAATTGTTCAAAATTCAAAATTTTTTAGTATATTTTCCATTTTGTGGGATAAAAGCCACGTTTCAGATACCTATTGGCCTCACTAGAGTTCAACATCTGCATTTTACATTTTCTTGAAATAAGTTTACTTTTCAGTAATCTATTATTTGAAACTACTGATTTATTTACAGTTCATATCTGTTTATTTATGCAGTCATGAATTCCTCATTAATTGCTCTTTTTTGTTACCGATATCAGTAGACGTAGTACCCTTAAAAATGTTATCATTAAATTTTAGATCTTTATTTTGTCTTCTCTCTTTCAATTTTGACTCAATCATGAATTTCATTTTGGTAATAAAACAGTTTAAAACACTTTTTTATTTCTAAACATGCAAAAAAGGTGTAAATATTGCTTAAATTTTATTGTTGCTCCTGCAATCTCGTGTAAAAAAGTTATTTTTTAGTGAAACAATAAAAACGGAAAAATAAAAATTGCTTACAGCCTAATTTTCTGCTGATGAATTTCGAGAACAGCTTCTAAGTTATCACGTAATAGAAGTCCACAGTCTTGACACAAGGTGTTATTAATCATTTTATAGAATTGGCCTTTCGAGTGCTTAAGAAAATTGCTGTTTAAATCCGCATAGAAGGTCATACTTTTGAATAGGAAAACTCATCTGCCTGTTTTGTCGCTCTAAAACAAAATTATCACGCGATGATGGAATATCAAAAGGAATAAAAGGACAATTACGCAAGCATCAGCGTTTGTTCCTGAAAGTTTAAACAAAAGCGAAAATAACGCTCAGTTGGAGGCATTGATATTTTACTCTCCATTCATGTCTTAACGAGGAAAACAAATACTGGTTTTTGTGTTATGTTAAAAAATCATTATTTATAAAGTAAATCTTTCTATAGACAGCTTGAAAAGAAAGAAAGTGTCTGTTCCATCTTCCTTCCAATAAAAAGCTTTTAGTTAGAGGGTTGTATGAGTTTAAATTAATAATGTTTTGTAATACATTTTCTCTGCTGTGGTAATGATCTTTGCGATTTGGAAAAAAACCGGAGTGCAGAGATAGTTGATAGAGATAGTTACATAAGGAGATAGTTTTTTATGTAATCGTGAAATAGCTGTTTTCGTACAATGGCAAGGATCATAAAATAGCTTTTTAATGCGACTGATGATCGATGATTGTGCTTCTGGACATCGTGCAATAGTTGTGTTTATGCATTTGGAGATTGAGAATTGGTGATTATTTTTCTGAATTTTCTATCGTTAAAAAAACCGTATTTGTGAATTGTAGAATCGTGATAGAGTTGTATTTGTACAATTGAAATTCAAAATGTCTATAAATATAGATCGACGAGGCTCCTTGGCTCTCAGTTTCAAATTAGAAAGAATCAAATCGGACGAACAGAATGAAAAAGAGGACACCACTTGTGGAATTGGAAACTTTCATCCATCGTGGCTTCAAAAATTCAACACACCCAAAGCATTTCTGGTCAACAACGGATTTTTGGGACTTTTGAACGGTGCGACTTTTACGTATTTCATNTTGGGTATCCATTGTTTTTTTTTATCAAATTTTGAAATAGTTTATCGATTTGCTTTTTTGATAAATAAATATTAATACATATTCTTCTAATTCTGATCATTTCATTAAAAGTGGTATTTAAATAGATGCTCCTAGAAGCAATAGAATTCCAAGTAATTAGTTTATTAATATTAAGATTAAAATCATTTCTTTTATCGTATAAATTAACAAAGCAGATATTTTCCACTTTTATAATACCTAAATTCAAAAAATTGAAAATATATATATATATAATTATTTGAAGTTTCATGTTTATATCGTCATCATTGTAATGAATATTGTTTTCATTGGGTTGGTTTCCGTTGTAATCTCTTTTCAATCTGTTCTGGCTAATAAGACGGATATTTTAATTTTTTTTTGGCTATTTTCTTTTTGCTTTAAAATTATTAAAGACATTTTTAATGTATAATATCTTGATTTTTAAACTTTTAGAAGACAAATGAAAGTCTATTTTGTTGTATTGTGGGGCACAGCATTATCAAGGAAGTAATTAAATCAGATATTTCGTTAAAAAGAATATTAAAATAATCTGTTAACAAATAAAAAGGAGTTCTGGATTTGCTAATTTTTGATGATAATTTGCTTAATTTTGCTGACTTATTTTGCTTTGCAATTTTACTTAAGGGAGAAGAAGGATGAGCAATGCTAACGTAAAGCATTGAAATGTTCTTATTTTCAAAAGTTTCATATGAAGCAGGCTTAGAGATTTCATAAGTTTTACAAATAGATTTCAAATTTGGAATAAAAGTTTAATTTCAGGAAATATAATTTTTCCTCTTTCGAAAAGTTGCAAACTTCGAGAGTTTTAAAGTCCAAAGACTCTCATGGAATATTCTGCTCAAAATTTTATAAAATGGAAAGAAGCGTAAATTTTGTTTTTTGCAAAATTATGTCTTTATGAATTTAATCCTAAAGAAATTGACTACTACAGTAAAAGTTAAGGTAAAATTCACTCAACTTCCTTACGTAAGCATGGCTGGGATGCGCGATTAGCTCATTTTTGCTGACAAGGGGTTAAGATTTCAAAATTACCAAAAATATACTTATGTAATATTTAAACAATCCCCAAGGATTTTAAACATAAAGAGGATATAAAGCAGAAAACTCTATAGAATATAAATATTTCAAAAACATACGTGTCTTAGATAAAAAAGCTTTGTGAAGGTAAGTGACATTTTTTTAAAAAAAATTGAAGTTTCTCGGAATAAGCTCTTATTTTAGTCTTATTTAAATAAAAAACATTCACTGATATTGTTAAATCTATTAATTCCAAAGATACTCAGTGGAAGAACAAAGTTTGTGCCATCATTGCTATTTTAATATTCTTTGGGGGGAAGAACCATGTAAATGACTTTGCAACAAATAGTCAACAAACAACCCTAGAACATTACTTGCTTGGCACTGAATGGTAAAGCGCGTGGAGTTCGAGCTTTCTCTGTAGAAAATGGAAAACTTGAAAAGCAGCTTCCATACGTTAGGGAGTTCATACATTTTCATACATGATTGATAATGCGGATTTTTTTACGAATCAATAATTAGAAAATAGAAGGAAAAAATTGCTCTTAAAGGGCTTCATATAATTTTATTTTCTCCTCCTTCGTAATATTTTGTGTTTCAAACACATTGCCTGTAATTTTTTTTCTGATTAAAGTCGCGTTCAAATAACTATTATTTTGTGCTTATGAAACTTGTTCAGTATATTATTATTATAACTAGATGAATACTTGTTCTTCGTACGGGTCGGAAAAAAAAACTAAATATTAAATAAATCGGTCAATAAAGCGAAATCATACACAAAATTGAAAGAGATGCACTGATGGATACAATTAAGTTAAAAATAATTCCAGTTTCTTTATTTATTATTACTTGCTGTTTTTCCTGATTCTTTTATGTTATTTGGTCGAGCAAAATAAGTTTTTAGAAATGCATCCTATCAAAATAAAAATCAATGATATTCAGTGTCATTAAACATGATATTATTGCTCGAGGAAAACTCTTGATTGTCAAAAATTATCTGGTACTTATACTTATTATCTGGTCTGGTACTTATACTATTCGGTGGACAGTAATAAACCTATTTCCACAGTACCTATTGTAGTAACTATATTAGTATGAGTTGTAAATATCAAAACAGCTTCAAATAAAATAGAATCAGTATTATCAACAAAAAAAATTTCCCTTCTTTTGGATTATTATTTTTACATTAAAAATACCAAGAAGCTGTTCAGCAATCTTTAAAGTGTGGCACACTTAAAATATGAAGCGTTAAATTCGAAATGTTAAGAGTACATCTTTTAAATTTAACAAAACAAAAGGCAACTTTTTCATAAAAATCGATAGGGTTCATCGTTTTAGTGAATATGAACGAATCACAGAGATTGATGGTGACCAAAGAGATTCCATTGCTGATGCAGATTGTACTTTGGTAAAGACAGATCGGCATCGGGCTAACCATGAGAGGTTTTCGAGGCTTTTACCTCCGGTTGGCGTAAATACTGATTTGTTACGCTTAAGAAAAATTATTTCAGAAAGGTGAATTTGATCTGCTTCTTTAAACAAGGTGTTCTCTTTTATTTTAGAATCATGTCTAAGAAGGATTGGCTGTTCAACGACGGAAATTTGTGAAATGATAGCCTAAATTAGAAAGAAAAATGAAAGTCTCAAAACTAATCACGATCACGTAGTTCACCAAGATAGAAAAAATATTCAAAACGGTTTTATAAATACAGTCGAACCCCGCTATAGTGAACCATCAAGGAACTGAAATTTCGGTTCACTATTACCAGGTGTTCTCTATATTCGCTCCGCAGGCAATTTAACTAATTGTGCCCAAACTCCTCCCTTTTATTGCACATTATTTAAATAAATGACTGAAAAATATTATGTAGTAGCCAAAAATATGTTATTTTTCATTAGTCTTCGTCTAGCGTACAAAAAAAAATTAGTAATCTCTAGCTGATGAGCAATCCTCAACATCAGATATGGAAACACTTCCCGACTCTCAGACAATTTTTCCTGACTTTCTGTTATTCCGTTTTTTAAACATGTCTAACTTGCCACTCGAGCACATAAAAATAGTCTCATAAAATCGCTAAGCAAATTCATCGACATTTGTCAAGATACTGAAAGATTGCGCCTTCTTCGAATGGTGAACCACTTCAGTAATGCTTCTTCAACATCCTTGTGATCTGCTTTTCTTAACTTTTGTCTGCCATCCAAATTTTTTTCATGAGCAGAAATTATTAATCGCTTATTTTTCCATATGTTACAAACTGCAGATTTGGACAGTTTATATACCCTGAAAATATCAGCTTGATTGCATTCATTTTCAATTTTTCTGATTATGCCCATTTTATCATCGAAGGAGAACGTCTTACGTTTACTGCTCGCCATAGTTAAATTTTAGACACTTGTTTGCAGAAGTTTTTTTAACTGAACTGAGAGCAAAAAGGAGTTGAAATGAGTGCATTATCAACACATATTAGTGTCCAACCCTTTGACCAATAATGAATAATTGCTCATTCCCTCTGACAGAAAATGCATATTGATCCCACTGACACCTTACACGTGCATCATCTGCTTGGGTTGGAAACATCTGCTTGGTTTGTTTAAGGATGGGAAAGTGAGATAAAAGAAGCAAACAAGAAAAAATGCTTATCACTACATTCCCCTCTATAGGTGGTTTTAAAAATCGGCATATGTATTTATTTTGAAGTAGAAATTTCAAAATTATTACCAAAAAAAATCAGTCGAAGACAGAAAAAAGTTCATTATATCCAACTTCCTCACTTTTTTGGTTCACTATATCAATATTATGCGTGTATAGCAAGGCACGGGACCAAACATTTAGTTCACTATATCCGGGAGTTCACTATAAACCATGTTCACTATAGCGGAGTTTGATTGTATTTCTTATAAATTTTTAGGAAAAGTTCATTTTTGCATAAAACTGCTAATTTTTAATGGAAAATTTGCGAATAATTTATGCATTTCGGCAACTATAAATATTTCGTGTGTTACAAAATATTTTCATCTAGTTTTTGACATACTATTAGATGTAATGATATGATATAACACTTTGATCACTATCAGCGCTATTTAAAAAAATATTTTTCAAATCAATAATTACTAAACTCTAGTCTTTCCAAACGATAAATACCGGTTCAGACTGCTTCTGAATTGTTTTGGGGCGATTTTCTGACAAACAAAGCTAAATGAAACTTTATGTCAGTTTGTTCCAAATTGCGGATGCTAAAATTTTATTTCATGAATATAAGTCTAAATATATGTGTATTTTAGCTTTTCAAATAAAATTAAGAGTTAAAAATCCTTCATCTTAACAAGCAGATTCTACACACGAAAATCATCAAAACTTCTCTTTTATAAATTAGTGAAGGTTAAATAAATATACACTGAGAACTTTTATGAGTTATCTCTCTCTTCACAAATATACTTAAAAACATAAATATTGAGCGAAGTAAGAAAAACGTATAAACTTTAGAGCTCATTTACTCAAATTTATTCTAGTTCAATAAAATGCCACTTACCTGGTTCTTCCACAAAGCTCCTCAAGTATGTCACAGATGTTTCTAAAAATTCCAAATTCTAATAAAGGTATTTTTCATTTTCATCCTAAATAATGTGTGAAGAGATATCCTTTAAAATTTTTTGACTAGTAACTAATATATTTTCAGCCACTTCAATGACAATTCAATTACTTGGCCCTGCATCAGGATTTTTGCTTTCCTCTTTGTGTCTGCAATTCTATGAAGATCCTTTTTGTAAGTATTGCTTTCTCCAGACAAATTTATTATTTCTTTGAAGTTTTTATGCCGAAAGGACAAAAAAAAAGCCACGCATTACTCGTTTTTAACTCGAAGAAAAAGATAAAAAGGCTATAATTTGAGTTTATCGAAATGAAAGCTATAATTTCAGACTTATAAGAACAATCTTCACAAATAGATCATACAAATTTAAGGCTCTCATTGAAATAACAATTTGTTTCAAAATAATATGTTATTTTCATAAATGTTGTGAGTTTGCAACAGTTATTCATGAGATCAGCTTTAGCCTGCACCATCTGAGCTAATTCTGAAAATAGCACAAAACGTCACTATGGAAAAAGCCACAGTTTTGTAAAACTACGAAACGTTTCTCACTTGATTTTTCAATATTTGAAAATATATTCTAACGGTGCATTATCAGAGCTCATAAAAATTTGGAAAAAATTTAGACTTATTTATTAACTTTGAAAATTTTCATCTTAGTAACACCAAATTGACATTTTTGTAAAAAGTTTAATAATTCTAAAATTATTTAAGATATTTCATACGTTATAAATCGCAGATAATTATTTGTGGCAAAATGGTGTAGTACGTGTAATAGTTTAAAAGTATACTTTTGCTTCAAGCCCTTAAACTTCTTGTTTTTCTCGGTGAAAGAGCCTCGGTAACCCATCCTCTATAAAAATCATTAAAAATTGAATAATTTTCAGTTTTTTAATATTTTTATCAGCCCCAAAAAGTTAGGTAAGAAAGTTGTTAAAAGTTTTGTTCACAAACACTCTTTATGCTTATATAGAACGCTGGCTTTTCTTAGAGTCATTTTCATTGCTAGCTTAGATGCCAACGGATAAAAATGGGCAAAAACATATAACTCACCTATGGCTCATACAAACTCACTACATTTATAAAAGTAACGTACTATTTGCATTAAAAGAGACTTCCAGAACAGTCTTAGGAACATTATGCATAGATTCCTGAAACAATAAAGCAAATAAATAAATAAATAACTCATAATAATAATAATTTTATTTGGATTAGATAAGTAGAGCTCGTATGAAATAATAGATGATCAAAGTTTCCACAATCTAGAGAAAGTTGTTTATATCTTTAATTTTGAATTTTTATAAACCTTGAAAGTTCAATTTTGAACCAGGGGGACGCAGGGGGTAGAACACTTGTCTCTCAATGAGATGACCTGGGTTCGAACCCCAGCGATCGATGGTAGATACGAGTAGCGTACCCAGCTCGCACTGACCACAGTGCTGACATAAAAATATCCTTAGTGGTAAACGGATTATGGGTTAGAGTCCCCTTGCAGCCAGGCTAGCAGTGGAAGATTTCCGTGGTCTTCCTCTCCATGTAACGCAAATGCGGGTTATTTACATCAAGAAGTCTTCCATGAAGCGAAAGCTCTCCCAATACTTGATCCAGGAGTTTCCTTATCTTCTGGATAATTTTTTTCTAAGCAAGTCTATGCAAATCTCACTAAAATAAAATTACTTAAATTAAATATGGTTTCTTTTTTATTTATAGTAGATTAAATTTCCCTCTTATTTCACATTTATGTGTGAACAGGCTTTACAAATTTTTCATTTCGATCTCATGGATTTTCAGTCATGTAATATTTTTCTGCTGTGTTATACATACAGTGGTGGACAAAATAATGGTAAAACTTCTATGCTAACGCATCTTCTCATATTTCTCACGAAATACTTAAAGAATAATTTTATAAATTAAGAAGTGTTTAAATAATACGATTTCTCCCACATATCAATGAAGTGTAAAGCTTTTTGAGGTTAGAGGGACCGACAATGAATTACAAACGGAAAATAGTATTTCTGAACATCCTATGTAATCAATTTGTAACTTATGTAACGAGCATTTAAATTATATGCAATAAGTTGACAAAATTTCGTGAACCTTTAGGCATTTTTATAAAAAACTAATTTTTTTCTCACTTTTTTTTGCTATACATTTAAAAATATTCAATAAAATTAAACAAAATTTTCAAGGAATTTAAAATAAATTACGAACAAAATTATGAAGAAAAATGTTTGTTTTTTCTTACCATGCGTGTGCTGTATAAAACAACTAATTTAAATACTCATATCTTATGCAATTCTGAACAAATTTTTCTCAAATTTTAAGCAAAAATTTTTTAAATTTATTTCAAATTACTCTTAAAAGTTTCAAAATTTTCCCCGGAACATTTTTAAAGTTATGGCAAGAAACGTAACAGAAAAAATTTCTTTTTTATGAAAGTGATATTTAAGCAAGAATTAATAAGTTTTGTCTTATTGCACATAATTGCTAAAATAATTGTTACAAGTTAGAAACATATTGCTACCTTTTTAGCATAGGGTGTTCAAAAACATTATTTTTCGTTTGTAATTTATTGTCAGTTCCTTAAACTATTAAAAGTTTTAAACTTCATTGATATATATGAGAAAGTTATAAAATGTTTCCTTAAGTATTTCTTAAGAAATATGAAAAAATGTATTAGTAGAGGTCTTCCCATTATTTTGTTTGCCCGCTGTATAATGTATGTTTTAATTGTATTCGAGCATTTCACTCTAGAGTTGATTTAAAGATCTTATTTGCGATTGTAGAAGAAGCTTAAACTTCAAAATTCGATGTTCAAAATTTATTACAGACATGAAAAAATAAGCCTGATAAATTTGAATTGAAATTCGGTCAGGTTGTTGAACTTCAGATCATTTGAATGGTTTGATGAATCTTAGGAAGATAGAAGTGCGCATCTTGGTTAACCTGTCATTGTGAAACGAATGAATCCGTCTCTTTGTAGAAAAGAAATATCACAACTCACATTTATTGACATTTCTTTACGGGATATAGGAATTTGTCTCGTTGCTGCACTATTTGACGAAGCTACAAAAATCACACACTTTTCCTTAAAAATTCTAATAAAGGGTCAAACATTATTGTTACATAAGGTGTAAAAACGTTTGGAAAGGGTCAAATATCTCGAGAAATATGCGTTAAATAGTTTATTAAAAAAAAATCTAATGCGTGTAGAAAATTNAATAAAGGGTCAAACATTATTGTTACATAAGGTGTAAAAACGTTTGGAAAGGGTCAAATATCTCGAGAAATATGCGTTAAATAGTTTATTAAAAAAATCTAATGGGTGTAGAAAATTTGGTCGTCCATCTCCACCCTCTGTGGTTGGATCGAGGGCAATTTTGAAATCTTATGAATGAAGATCTATTTTTATGACAGAATTAAGTTTTCCAGATGGAAAAAAAAGTAATCCTATTGTTTCGCAGAGCTCACTGTAACCGAGAAAATGAAAAGGAATCAATACTGTTTAAAATGACAATCTCCAGATCCATCAGATTAAGAGCATAGAAACAGACAGGTTTCAATTTTTTTTCCTTCTAAAGTTTTCTCGAAGAAAGAACATTGAAACATTTTTATTCCTTTTTTATTTATTTTTTCAGTTTGATGTATCTCCAGATACTTCCATTTTAAATAATTTGTACCCTATTTTAATTTTTCCAATTCATTTCCTTCTCAGAGTTGGGGAAGATCAATTCTTTGAAATTACTGGATAGATTTTAAAAATATGGAATGCCTCTATTTCCACTTTTTTTAATCGATGTATATATATCGAAATAGTTAACCATTTTTCACATCCTACTTAGTGATGTAAACCAATAGCAATGTTCAGATCTTGAGTAGTACCATTAAGTAGTTGAAAACACAGTTGCTAACCCTGAAAATCTTCCCGAAAAAAAAGTTTTTTCTTTAATTCCGTCAGTTGAGGCGCAGACACGTTTCATGAAACAAATGGATTGGCCCATAAGCATTTTAATAAATAAGTTTTTAAAAAGGAAGATTGGAAGTCATTGCTAATCTGCCGAAAGTTATTTATTTTAAACTTTGTCAACGTGTCGAATTGAGATTGTCATATTGTTTATTCAAAAAAATCAGCATCGCTTTTTAAGCAGTGAACGCCGTTAATGTTACGAAACGAAGCAAAATTTTTCGTCGTTCCTAAAACCTATTTCGTAGAAATTTTGCGAAGAACGTTTATTTCAAATCTTCTACAGGGATTCATAACTGTTTCATGATGATATTAATCTCTTAGTTTCATGATTCATTATTCTTGTTTTTAATATATTAAAATACAGGACCTTAAAAACCTACTAAATTTATTGTAACCAAACTTACTATTTATAATGATAGTAAACCTAAAAATCAAATATTTACTATCGGTTTCGTATTGAGATCAAAATGTCCGCAAATGGTCGTTATACGCAAGTAAAATTGTCGGTATTTTTATGATTATATTAAAAGAAATATTATGTTATGAAACATAAATTATATAATTCTATATATACATTTGAAAAGGAATTAGAATGTCTTTTTTTAAAAAAAACTTTTATTTGAGTCCTGCTTCAAAATCCTAATATTTTCAATGTTTAAAAACATTGTTCTGATAGTTGAAATTTTATTTCATTCTAGTGTTTATTTGAAGTAAAAGAAACACTTCATTAATCCCTATTGATTCGCGAGACTTGTTACTCGTGAAATGGTAGTCAATCAAAATCGCTCCTTTTTGCTCTTGACAGAGAACAACAGAAGTTTCTCCTTTTGAGACATAATTTTCACATAATGAGCACGCAGTTCCATCTTTATCCTTACTGTTAGAAAAATTCCTTCTTCATAGCAGGTTATATAGCAACCTTTTTATCAGTTACTCGCCTAGAGAAAATAACCATAACACTCCAAAAGAATGTAAAGCCAAGTTCTCTTTAGGGGACGGGATACAAACCTGAAAACAATTATCCTTATGTCAACAGCCAAAGATGTTGTCATATCTATCATATATATCATCTGAACGTAATATTGCAAAATAATTATGAGGGAGGATTTACTGCATTAGAACTCAAAATAAGATCTGAAATCAGTTGTGAGAAAGCTCTGAATATAAAAAATATTTTAATTTGATTCAAATCCAAATCAAAGGAAATCCTATCTAGAACTCACAAATCTCTCTTAGCATCAGTGAGTGTTAAGGCTTTAGTGAATTTTAATAATAGGAAAGCGATGAATAGTTTGTTTTTACCAACAATATTTAATGAACCCAATAAACCAGTGTAAATAGAAAGGGTAAAACAACGAGTGAATAAAAAAGTTAACTTCTGTATGAGCATCAATAGGGAAAGTCTCGTTGACGAAGTTTATTTTTCATGTTGATTTTGATTGTTTTTGCTTCACCAAAATACTTCTTGCACATCAATTTATAAAAAGTCTTTCAGATACTTGATACTATGCGCTTTGTTTTATTTTAGGAGTATTTATTTGGCTTATTAAAATTAAGAAATCAAATTAAAATTGTTTTTGTAGCTATCCAGTTTATTTAAGTTTCAAATTAAATTAAAGTATTATCTTAATTTAATTTTTAATTCTTAGAACAAATATAGTTGAAGTGCTATTCCTTTTCAAAAATATTTTTATAGTTAATTCTCTCCATGTTTACATTGTAAATTAGTATAGTTACGAATGTCAAACTCAAATACACAGTTGAATAATACTGTGAATCATAATGTGAAGTTGTAAATACTTAAAAACATAGTATTTAGGTAAAAATCTAATAAATGAATTAACTCTCATTCGCAGGAGTCTTAAATAATCAACAATTAAAAAATTTTATTTTTGATATAACCTTAAAACTAATTTTAGTTTTTTTTTAAAAACTACTAAAAATATTGCCAGGGATGTGTTGTGAAAAGTGTTCAAAATGGACGAATAAAAACTGCAGTTTTTGGTTTTAAATATCCATTGCCCCTTTTATTTAATAGCTATTCTTATTTTATTTTGACACACAGTGTTAATTATTTATATAAATATTTTTAAAAAAGGAAAGAAAAAAATGACTGTACAGGCTTTGCAATACCATAATTTTAGTATTTTGTAAGATAAAAACGTCGTTGAAATCGTGTAAATTTTTATGTTGTGATAGTTTGATATTAGTTTTTCTGAGTAGATGATCCCGGTTATGGCACTGATGACCCGCGTTGGATCGGAGCATGGTGGCTTGGCTATATCATCATTGGATTGCTCATGTTGCTTTTCTCCCTACCCATGTGGCTTTTCCCGAGAAGATTTCCAGGAGTGAAAGTTCCAAAACCTCTCCCACAAAAGCAAGATTCAAAAGCTAAGACTGGTATTCTAAAAAGTAGGACATTTTTAGTTTTACTATAGTAATATTTAGTTTGAATATGCTAATAATTAGTTGTGTTTCTGCACATATTGTAAACCAAAACTTTGTCATGTTAAATAAGGGAGGAGACATTTGATTCTTATTGATATTAACGTTCTACAACAATGGAGTTACACATATTCCTAAACTTGATATGATAGATTCTTGATTAATAGTCTTACAATATAGGAGAATAATACCTGTGCGTGTTTCATATGGCTTTATTATGAAATGAATCCATATGAATTAGACAATTCACTGCATCACAAGGGAACTGGAAATAGAACAAAGAAGCAATAGAACTTCAAAAATTTAGATTAAATGAACAATTAACATTTCAATCAATAAGCACTTGAAACAATAAATTGAAAATAAAATACATTTCGAAGTCTTAATGAATCATATGTTATCTCTCCAATTTGATTGATGTAAATGTCAGATTTATAAATCTATTTGTTTCAGAAAATTACGGATTCAAAAAAATTTTTCTAGCGACACACTGTTTGAAAATTTCATAACTGCATGTTTCGTGCTATAGTAAGCAATAGAATTGTGAGCCTATAAAAATGATTCAGGATACTCAACGAAACATTTTTGAAAAAGTCAAAAAATTTTTAAAATAATTTTTTTTTATTTATTTCGAACAAAATTATTCACGCTTTCATTCGTATTAAAGATTACTTGATTTGACATTTTAAAACCAAATCATAACTAAGAGCTTCTCACTATCATTATTTTTCGTATACATTAAAACCTGTTTTTTTTTTCCAAATTACTATACACAAAAAAACTTAATAGAATTTTCTTAATAATAACTAATTCTTAATAATAATGAAAAAATAAACTTAATAGCATTTTCTTTGCTAATAAAAATATTCCATAATTGTTCAATTAAAAAGAAAACATAATCCTGGGTAATAAAGCCAGAAATATACGATACTTAATCATTCATCTAGTAATTTTTCCGTTCATTTAGTAACGGTTTACCAGAAATTTTGGTTTTCAAAATTATCGTTCTTATTTCCCTAAATTCAGTAAAAAGAAATATAAACTTAACCGAATGAATGTTTTTTATGCCATATTCTAAGGTATTATGATAAAAATATGGAATTTTACCACACTTACCAAATTTTATCACATTTTATAAAACCATATTTTAATGCTAATTTTATCAAATTCATTACCCTTAAAAATTACCGAGCTTTTTGGTGTTCCCCTTGAGCCAGAAACATGGTAAATTTTACCATATTCTGGTAGTTTTAACCATACCTTCTTCTCGATGCAAGGCTTGCATCTCTGCCATAAAATGTTTCAAATAATATGTAACCAAAGTAGCCTAATAAGTATTCTAAGTTTAATCAGAACTTGATGGTTGCTTGGGCATTAAATAGCCACCAAGTGATAAAATCATTTAATTCAAAATGGATCATAGTTCATAAATACCCATTTTCAGACTGATTTAGTGTCCAGTCTGGTAGAAATTGGAATATTAAATTGAAAAGTGAACAGAAGAAGCTCGGCCTCATCCAACTTGCATCTGACAATTGCGTGTTTGCTAAAATTGATGAAACCGGTGTTTTAGCTATTTGTTTTTACTTCGATGGCTTTGCAATATTTTCCAGCAAATTCTAAATTATATGAGGATGGGTAATATGAACTTAAGTAATCAAATGGAACAATTGAAAAGTCTAAATTGTTAGGCACAGAAGTTTTGAAAGATGAAAATGGAATCAGTTTGTTTTAAACTGAACCATTAATTAACAATTATGATCTAATAATGTAATAAAACTAATCATCTTATAATTAATGTTGAGGATAGATATTTTAATCCTACAAACAAATTAAGTCAATCAGAAAAATTATCAAGAAATTTTCGGGGAACTTTTATTTTTGGCAAATAAAAGGCATCCCGATATTTCTTTTGTGATAAGTTAATTTATTAGCATTAGTTATTATGAAGATTATGTTTCGTTTTATGATAAACAATTGGGATTTTTAAATGGTAGGGTAGATGTAAGGTGAGGAGATGGCAAAAGAGGTGAATCATTATCACAGTGTGTAATTATGTTAGGTAATTCTCTAATCTTGTGAAAAAACAGAAAACAAGGAATTGCACGATTGTCAACATGCGAACTATTTTCTATTGCTGAAACAACAAGAAAATTCAGAAGAATTATAAACATGCTACGCGAAATTAACTGTAAACAATTCATAAATGCTCCAACTGAAATTCATTCTGATAGTCAAGCAATCACTGACTGGTAAAATAATGATAAATTATCAAATAAAACTGGTAAATTTAAAATTCCGTTTCTCAATAGACACAGATGATGATAAAATTTTAAAATCAGTGTATAACAACATTGCTCATTTTTTTAAAACAAAAGATATCAGATTTGATAAGTTAAAATTTTCTTTAGAAAAAAATATGTTTATTTTAATATTTTATTTTATAGATATGTTATTGTTTACCCTGAAGTAAAACCCGTATCGTAAAAAGAGAGTGTAATTCATGGATGCTGCAAAGGCTTTTAATTTTAATCAAGCCTCTGCGTATTTTTTTTAATTGTTTGTGTTTTGTTAATAAAAATTCATCTTGAAATACTGCAATTTTCAGATATGGGCAATGCTATATTGCGACTGATTCGAAATCCGATCTTGATATTCCATCAGTTGGGTGGAATATTCCGAGTGAATGGCGTGATCGGATATTTCATTTTGATGCCAAAATACATGGAGATGCAGTTCCAGCAGTCAGCATCCAAAGCAAACCTCTTCTCAGGTAACTTTCTTTTTGAAATAGAAGATTTTTTATTTGTTTATCTGCATTAAAAATAGGTCGTAAAAAATTTTCTTTCAAGAATAAAAATCTGAATAAATTCGGTTACTTTTTCTCAACTATTTAAAATTAAATCCGTTGTTGGATCTTAAAAACTAATTGCCTTTGGACACCGGTTTGATCACTTTTCAAAGTAATCTCTTGTGCGACATCTACACACTTTAATACTAAACAAAACGAATGGCAACACAACTGTACTTAAATATTTTTTTTAATTCTTTAACCCTTCCTCCAATTCTAATTTCATTAACCAATTTTTTTCACTCTCTATATCACCGTTACATATACACCGAAGAGCCATTACGTTATGACCACCCTGCTAATAACATGTAGGACCACCTTTAGCCCTCAAAACAGCTAGCATCTACCGGGGCATTGATTCCACAAGGTGCTGATAGGTAGTCTGAGGTATCTGGTACCAAGCGCTCTCCAACTGGTCCTGCAATTCCCTCACATTGCGAGGGGTAGCGTGTCAGCACAAATTTGGTTTTCCAAGTAGGACCACAAATGCTCTATTGGATTAAGGTCAGGTGAATTTGGGGGCCAAGATAAGACTTGAAAGTCACTGAAATGTTCCTCGACGATTTGACTCTTATGATATGGTGCATTATCCTGTTGGTAAAAACCATCCCCCGCAGGGTAAACTGTTGCCATGAATGGGTGAACCTGGTCTCAAACTATGTGTAAGTAGCTTACAGACGTCAGGGATAGTTCTATGAGGATTATGGGTCCTAATGTGCCCCATGAAAACATTGTTCCTGGGGGAGCCCATTGTTATAGATGGAGGGTAGTCATACATAATGTAATGGCTCTTTGGTGTATATATATA